TTTTTTTTGTTTTTTGTTTTTTGTTTTTTTTTTTTGTTTGTTTTTTTGTTTTTTTTTGAAATTGTTGGTCCGTACGCCTGCAACATGTTTACCTGCGATGCTTCAGTAGAGTCGGGTAGATCTGAAGCAATGTGAAGGGAAAATTGTCGAACCGGCAATAGGCAACCGGGGCCTTGGATGCGTCGTCGGAAAGAAGTCGAGAGGAAGCCCAGTCTGTGCATCGCAGGGCTGCGCCCACGAGCTTCGGAGCTGCTCGCCGAACGTCTTGCTGCAAACAAACTGCCGGAGCTTGCCTTCCAGCGTCGAGGCCTTGAATGGTTTTCCGGCTTTTGGGGGTGTATCTTCGGGTGTGTTACAGCTACAGAGCTTCCGACTCCATCTTAGTCTTAGTCTTTTTCGGCTCATCTCTTTCGCGAGTTTCTGTTCCGTGTCTGTGCCTTTCTTGTTGACTGACCTCTTGGAGAGCACGGTACACTTTGAGAAGCAGGCTCGGCTTCACAGGCGCGCGGTATTCGTATCACAGTTGGCTTCCACGTTGACAGACCAAGCAGTCGCGAGGGTTCACGCACGCAGAGCTACATTAGTACATTGCATGTTCAACAGGACCGCGGGTAGTACATCCTGACTCTGGCATTGACTTGCTCGATGTCTTGTCGGAGCAGTCCTGGCAGTAACTCGGCTTTATTAGCCTCAGTGTGATGGACTCAAGGATGCACGCCCGCTGCAAAGGCATTTTTTGATGGCAGGCAAAGGCAGAGGTCTCCGCCGTCACCAGCCCCGGCATTCCATGCAAAGTTGCCTTTCTAAAAGGATGGGAGGTCATGTTGTTTGGTCGAATGCGGGCGGCACCAGACCTAGCGGGCTTCCCCTTTCACCACTCCTTTCACCTACAGATGTTGCAAGCTTGAACTCCCAGGAAGTGGAGGGCACAGGCCGAGGAACTCCGCAACGCCAGATCCCTGGGCAAAGGCCACTGGCCCGAATCTTCCAGCAGTTAGAAGTTTGCGCAGGGCGATTTCTTATACTCGTGACGAGTGCATCAGCTTGCCGCCTGACGAAAGTTACTCCTCTGAATTCTGGCAGTTGCCTCTGGCGGAGGCACCCCCAAGTCGACAAAGAGCTTGAGCTTCCTCGGCATTTTCCGCTGCGGCCGCGTGCGACTCTTGGCTGACATCGTTGCCACATAGAGTGCATGCGTGTGCAACGATTCAGGTCGTGCTGCGGATAAGTATGAGTGACCATGAGTTACCTGTGGCATCGTTGCCGTTGGACCAACAGAAAAGGAGCCAAATCCACGTCATACGTAGACTCCGGGGACTGCGCCAGTCCAGAGTTGGCGACTTGAGGTATTTATAGTTTATGGATGTTGGGATCTCGCAGGCCTTTTCGTGAAGAAGGCTGCAGGTTTAAGTCTGGCAGTGCCGCTTGCCAGCTGATCGGCAGAGAAAACTAGACGTTCTTTATGATTTCAGCTAAATAGGCACCTCGCCACACAAAAAGGCTCTTCCTGGGATCAAAAACATCGGAATTCCAATGCTAAGCTGCCCAGCTTTACCATGCATGGAGCCACTTCAGGGAATAGTCTTCAGAAGGTCTTCGGAAACCATGTGGCATGAATTCAATGCCAGATTGTGAAAAACGATATAAGGTCAGATGTATGTATGGGGTATGCCGTATGATATGCAAAACGATATAGCGCACCCCAAAAAACGATAAGCTCATTTTGTGGGCTTGCGCACCTTCTCGCTCTCTCTCACTCTCTCTCCCTGGCTCTGTCTCTCGCTCTCTCTATCTCTCTCTCTCTCTCTCTCTCTCGCTGTGTCTCAGTGTCCATGCATCTTGAGGCCGAGGAAGTCTTAAAAGAGCCAACGAAAAATGAGATCGGGAGACATGGCTTGGAACGATATCAGAACGAATTCAGAACGATAAGAGTGTCATTTCTAAAGACGTCCGCATTCTTTGTCGATCTTTGTCGGAACCCTCTCTACCAGGTCTCTACCAACACAACCCTCAACTGTGTCGTGAAGCTTTGCCTGCCTGGCAGAGCAGTCATGTCGTGGCGTGCTCTTCCACACCTTCGGAGAGCTGTCTTCGCGGAAGAGTGCGTGAACAAGCTGCTTATGATGTTTGTGCCGCTGATGTCCGTTTGCTATGTAAAGCGATATACTGCACCCCCCAAAAGATACTATCAAGACAGAGATTGCTTTCGAGTGAACGAAGATTGCCCGTCGCCCGTTTGGTGTCGACGAACACAGTCTAGATGATGTGTAGAAGCAGACTTCACTACTTGTTTACATATTCATATTATTATTATTATTATTATTACTATTACTATTACTATTACTATTACTATTACTATTATTATTACTATTATTATTATTGTTATTATTATTATTAGTACCCGGACCCGGACCTGTCCTGCCATGGCCCCTAGGAGCAGAGTCGGACTCGGAGGAGACTCCGCCCTCCAAGGCTGCACACACGGAGTGACGGAGTAGAGCAAAGCAGCACCGTACATGACCAGATGCAAGTTTCTTTGTACTATGTACATGTCTGTGGAGAGAAGCATGTACTTCTGCGGTTAGCTGAAGCTCTTGGCGGCAAAAATAGACAGTGTAGTGGACGTCCCACAACATGCCCGCATTCGTTCCCGCATGTAGCAGTGTACCACTCGAACCAACAGATTTTCCGAATGTGCAGCAGAAAGTTGCTTCGACCACATGTACGTGCTGTTGTTGGCATGTTGCCGTGTGCTGCAGCCATGTACAATACCTCGATGGCGTCGGACCCATCCTAAGGATGATTGATCCGTTTCACTGCCGCCCTGAGTTTGAAGGCATGGGGAATGTCGGCATCTATCAACTGCACATGTGCATGTTGGTCAGGGGGCTTCCCGCTTGGCCAGCCTCTCTTCTGACTTTCACTTTATGCCCTTTGTGTGCCTGGAGTCAGGCATGACATACCTTGTGCAAGAACGCAAGTCCAAGATATTTGAGAACGTTGGGGCACTGGCACCGACACCTAACGAGAGGGCACAGATTCTACATTCATTGTAAATCGTGAAATGGAAGCATTCCCGCGACTGACTAGCAGGCAGAGCCAAGTATGTTAATGATCTGCGCACAGCCGTCGTGCTGGCGGCAGCGCACCACGAGTTTGGGACCTGATCGACAGCACCTATGCTCGAACACGGGGCTCGAGCACTGCAAGTTCCCCACGCATCTGGCGAGGCTGGCAGACGCCCCATGGAAGGAGGGAGGCCGGTATCATCTGTCAGCCTGATAGCAAGTGACTCGGTGGGCTCGTGCGGGGTTACAATAAAACAAGCCCCAAACCTTGGCAACGATCAAGGACCTAAACTCAGTGCTGTGCGGGTAGCAAGCCAAAGTCAGATCGTGGACAGAGCTTGCCAGCGCTGCACACGTCGAAGATGGCATCAGCAATGCGTCGCCAGCGAAGAAAAACGGAAGATGCTGTTTGGCTACTCTAGCTGGTGCCACTAATATCTGGCGATATGGCCAGATGCGACGGGTGCTGACTCGCCTGTTGACCGGAAGCAGGAAAGTGCCCAACGCCAATGCTGATGACGGATGATGCTCACCACAACCATCGATGCCGAACAATGAACACAGAACACCCTCGGATGCTCCCCTGCACTAGCCCAGCCCAGGCGATCGTCGTGAAAAGTAACGCAGGCAGTGCACCGAATGCCTTTCCTTTGTCGAGTTCGAGCGAACATCTTTCGATGCCAAGGGTCCAGCCAAATGTCGTCAAGGCCGGCCTGCGTTGCTTTCTCACCGAGTGAATGCGTGGAAAGTATGACATCTACAGGCCGTCCTCTTCTCCATCACTCCCGGATTCAGTAAATGAGCTCAAGTTGGAAAGTCGGAGCTTGCTCACACTGGTTCATTCCCACCCACGGACACTATCAGTGAGACTGCACCTTGTCATTTCATCTTCGGGAAAGATGCCAAAGCCAAACAGCACCTCCGCTTGCTGCGCGAGGATGCATCCCTCGAGTACCTTCAGGCACAGCTGTCAGGCCCCTGCCAGTTGATGCTGGGAGTTCTGAATGGGCCTGAAAGGCCCAGGCCGAGGAGTTTTCTATTCCTTAACTACTTCACGTGTGCATCGTGCCGTCGCCTTTTTCCACGGAGGCAACAAGACGCCGCTGTCCCTCCGAAATCCGCGGCTGGATCCGAGGCAGGTTCTCATGCACCAAGGTTAAGAGCCCAAGTCTGGCTCCTTGGAACTAGCAACGTCCTTCCCCGTAGTCTCCACTATCCCGTAAAGTTCTCGAGTGAGTTTTTGGGCAAGAAGCTCAGGGCTCGGGAAGCTCCGATGCAGCGGCATGATGGCTCCACGCCGAGATCCACACCAAGGCGGAGCTGGACCGGGCGGGATTCCAGGGATTCCAGAATGGATCTGCCTAGGTTGCAACAAAGCACTGGCCGTACACTGCCGGGTGAGCACTTTGTTCACGGCCCTTTGGATATCTAGTTGCAGGCTTCGCGTGATAGATGTGGACAAAGCGCCGGTGCCCCTTAGACATAGTCCGGGAGCCGCGGAAGGCTTCGGTCTGACTCAAACGTGGTACCCTCAAGCTTCCGCGCTCATTCAGAGCTGCCTTGTAAGCAGATCCTACCGATTCTGCAAAAACTCATGAAACTTGCCTGCTTAAGGGGGGCAGTGGACTTTGCAGCTGGGTCATGACTTAGGCATACTGACTGAGGATACTCTCACGACAAGTTTGCCCTTGCCCTATGTGTAGGACTTGCGGCCTATGCTTTTGCAGCCACCCTCCCCCCCCCGGATCCTCCCAGCTGGCTTAGGTTCAATTTTGCTTCAATTCCGGCTGTGATTGAAAAAAGGCGGCGTTAGCGCTGGAGAGACTAGGCACCGTCTCCTGAACACCGTCCCCTTCACGTTGGCAGAAATGTTTCTAGCTGGAGCTTCCTGCCAGGCAAGGCAAGGAGAAGGAAGCTGCTTCTAACGACACGCATTTCGTCATTCCCTCAGAGGGGCGCTGCCCAACTCGGTTTCCACGGGTGCGAGGTTCGCACAGCATCGTTTTTGTTGGCTTCTTTTGAACCGTCCAACGTCGTCCTACGCTCTGAGCACTGCCATAAAGGTGCCCCTGCGGCAGAGCTTGAACTCCTCGGAAAGCTGCAAGGCGGTGGCAGCCCGGGCTCTCAGATGCTCAGCCAGGCTGAGTCACTGTGGCTTCGCTACCCTGGGCCAGGATGTTCTCAGCTCTAGTTTGACTGTGTTAAAATGGCAGTTTCCAGAGATGGCGGCTGCTTATTGTAGTCATTATTGAGATGTTCTGCGTCTCACACTCAGGGTGCAGGATGCAGAAGGAGAGAGAAAGAGAGCATCCATATTTAGGCTCATGAACCCCATTGCCGTCTCCAATGCATCTTTTGCTCGCTGCTGCCTTGGCTCCGGTCATGAAGCAGCACGCTATGAGAAGCTGCATGAAGCCAAAAAAGAGCGGAAACCCTCCCTGCCGGTCCTGACAGCAAACCTTACGTAAAGAGCCTCTGTAAGAGCCTCAATCGAACTGGAGCCCAACCGCCTCAGCCTCAGCCGTCCCCAGCCATTTCCAAAGCTTCCAGGACAGTTCCAGGAAAGCTGCATGGCGCCACCCGGAGGATGAAGCGGGCTCGGCCGAAGCTCTCTTTCGACGATTCCTCCGAAGACGAGGGTGCGGCTTGGACAGTCTTTGCTTTTGACGTGGGTCTGCTGAGGGCTTTTAGAGGCCTGCCTCACGCAGCCGCGCGGTCCTGTCACTGTCTGAACTGGGTTCCTGCAATACCAGTCGGAACGATCCGAGGGTTTGAGTGTGTTGGATGAGACGTTGCCTTTGCAGGTGCTCCGAAGGCCCAGAAGACACTTCTTCAGAGAGGCCTGCCGAAGCTTCCGCCGAGCCAGGAGGCCCGAGTAGCGGGAGCTTCTGGACCTTTGACGAGCTTTTGCCAATTTGCGAATTTCTTCACATCCACGGCATTCACCTTCGTGCACCACAATGTCTGGACTGTGGGTAACTTGTAGAGACATGGAATACCCAGCTGTGTCTGACTATGGTTGAACATTTTCGAATCACCGGCTGCGTCCACGCACATACGGCTTCTCGATGTTTCCTGTAAATGCGGCAGGCTGATATGAAACCTGGTGTTGAACATGTGTCCACTTGATTTGTGACAGCAACCGGAACCTGCTTGAAGTCAGTTCTGAAGGAAGCCGCCGAGAAGAATGATGTTCCTGAAGCGCAGACCTTGGCACAGGCGGGCCGGGCTCATGCCTGAGTATGAGGCCCAAAGGGCTCTAAGGGTGGGATGAAAGTAGGTGGGGTAATCCCAAAAAAAGAGTCCTTATCTAAGGGATCCGTAATCCTACCCAGCTCTATCCTCCAAGAGGTTGGCATGGGCTCGCTCTGGTCAGCAGATTCAGTTGAGCAGTAGATGCCCGCGGCAGGCACCAGTCAAGTCTACACCCGAAAGTCTTCTCTTCTTCACGACAGTATGCACCACTTAAGACCTAGGAACAGAAACCATCTTGGAACCTATATGGCTGAATTGAAGGGCCTTCTCATGGAAGCCAACTTCAATGCACCCCCTTAGTGAGGACGCTAGGAGCTTTTTCTGCTTTTCCGAGGTGGCGGCTCTGCGCCAGGCCCTAGGCCTCAGCAAGAGGCGCGATGCTGCCGCAGAAGCTCACGAGGCGAGGGCCGGGAGGTGAGTCTGCTCGAAAGTCACAGCCTTCTTGGAATGACACCACGTGCATGATGAGCAGTGCCAAGGAGCGTGCCGGTGAGTCTTCTGCGGCTGCAGTGAAGCTGCGCGGTTCTTGGTGCTGAATTCTGGGATCGAAACAGATACTATAGTGACGACCGTCGATGCCGTAGATTCCCAAAAGTCTTCGAGGAGGGGAGGCCGCGGACGTGACCAGTTGCTCGAAGCATGCACAGCATCTGCAGCGCCGTCTGCGACGTGCACGAACATGTGACATCAGCGCGCCTTTTGTTATTCTAGCCTCGCTGCCAGAAGGTCCAGACACAGCAGAATTTTGGAGGCTGTTTGGTATTAATCGCCTGGCAAGGCCAGCCAGCATGCGAGACATCCAGACATTCTCGGCGCCTCGGTCCGAAGGGTTGGTTTGGTGTATTGAGAGGTGTCAGTCAGCGTGTGGGCATTGGGCCTTTGGCCCTGTGCCATGCCGTATAATGACAGAGAGTGGATCTGCCACTTAGGGAGAGTGGAAACTTGTCCGCGGAACCCATGGGAAGCCGAGACCAAATTTCGTTTTTGCTGTCTTCCCAGGCTCTCTATAAGGTCTCGACCTAGACTCATCGGAGATACTTTAGGAAAGCCGGCAGATGTCCTTTCAATGAATGCTTTGTCAAACCCTCTCAGAAGCGCTTTCAACGTTTTCTGCCTAGGAATTCCTCCGACTGAGTCCGGCCATCCAGGAGGCCTCCATGAAGATGTCAGCCGAGGCCCGCCCGGACTCCTCTTTCGAAGTCGGGCATACGTGGAGTGCATGCACAGAATCCCGATAGGTAACAACTAGTACGTACATAGATAGATAATTAGGTAATGTGTATGTATATACTATATATATATATCGAGAGTGAGAAAGAGATGTCGGACAGGCCCGTGTTTTCCGAGTCAAACAAGCGATTTTTGACATGTGTTCACGACTCTCTGAAATGGCGGCGTATCTCTAGCTGTACATTTTCAATTTCGAAGACTTGGTCCTCCATAAGCTTATCGCAACTCTTATACGGAATCGTAGTCGGTAAACGCACTTAGGCAGTCGAGCTTTGGGTTTCTGTTACCAAGTCACTAGTCAGAATATTCGGAGTTGCCACCCATTACTTGTTTAGAACCGGGCATATGTTTAATCAACACGTTCATACTTTACAACCTCTTTTTTAAGGATGTCATCCATTATATCCTAATATCACACCGCGACTTGACAAACAGGAGATGAAGCACCTAACGAAACTTACTCCTACAAACCAAGAAGCAAGGTTAGGCAAGGGAAGAAGGAATCAGAAAGTCTACATGGTCGGTCTACTGACATCCTTTCAAAATCAAGGCTCCGTACTAGCCCTAAGTCGAGAAATTCAGTAACCAGGAGGGCTCAGTCATTGGAGCGGAGGTGAAACAAGCTCGTAGAGAGATCAAAGTCTGAGAACTGCTGGAGGTTCAACCCGACAGATGGGAAGGGAGGGCAGCGGTCGCACCAACTCACAGCTGTAGTTTTATTGTTTGAAGTTCGTTATTTCCTTCATGTGTTTTAAGCTTAAGATTCAGCGCGTCTATTTATGAGTATTTGATCTTTAAGGGAACCCGTCATTATTTTCACGTTTGCGTATCAAGCTTGTTTTCTCGAGCCGCTCGTCCGTTGGAACCTGTCTTCCGAACCACTTATCTCATTGATTGCCGTGTTCTTGTCGATGTTTGTGCTGTTTGGCGTCCAGTCCATCATCCTGAACCCTAATGATTAAGGTTTGACCAACCACCCACTGTTCTTCATCATATCCTGCTAAGGTTGTGGTTTGGGGGGGGGGGGGGGGGNNGAGACGGGGGGTAAAGTAAACCCTTGTAGGATATGGGAGATGCCACCTATCCGCTCCAGAGCTTGAATCATAGTTCTCTGAACGCTTGGGCTTGCCAGTATCGTGTAGAATTAGGGGCTTTATGTCCTTATGGGAATCCATCATTCGTTTCTGATATCTTGATTTTCGATCACCTGTTAACAAGCACGAAAAACACGAGTGTTCTGCTCAACCGCACAACACCTACAATCATGGGTGGCGGGGGTCTGCAATTTTTGAACCTAAAGGCGCCGGTGACTCGATGACTTCGTGTGTGTATAGGCACTTATTCGGTGGCTGACCGATATATCAGTATAAAGATTAAATGAAGAAGTATCATTACCGTACAAGTTATGCAGATATGTTTCAGACCTAGCGTGGTAAAGCATATATGGTTGTACATATGTAAACCAGCATTCACAGATTAAAACTTCTGCAAACTTTGTATTTCGAATCATACGTCCCAGATATGTCTTCAAAGATATATTTTACTTTTAATATATATATATATAATAGAATATTTATGTATTTATACTATGTAGCTTTATAAACTCATACAGACTCATAAATTTGGATGTATGGTTACATGGGGAGCTCTTTTTCATAAACTTCTTGATATTTCATTGCACCATGGTTCGGGAATAANNCCAGTTTTATGAGAGACAAGCGCGCGAGTTATCAAAGAGATGCGCGCGCATTACCAAGAACATGCGCGGGAGTTATCAGGCTTTGTTTAGGTTTAGGGTTGAGGATATAGGCTCTAGGGCGGGCCAGGTTCGGATACGGATCACATAGAAGAAAACATGTTCTGATAACCATATATATATATATATCTCTTATGATCTTGATGTGTTTGGAAGAAATGAATAATTGTGTGCATGTCCTCTTCGGTCCTGAGTCTAGGATCATTCCTGATCTACTCCCAGACTGTTTGGGCTCGTGGTCTAGGCTTTCTATTGCCGTAGGAACTGTCTGCGCGTTGTATTTCCGCGGGAGCGTTCAGCTATGCAATTTTTCTGCATACTCATACAAGTGATCTCAAACTATGCTGTATGGGTTTGTTTCATGTAGGCAATGACAGTAAATGTAGTTAAAAGCCTTGCAAAATCCTAGCCGCTCGTGAAAAACAGAGAGCTTCAGAACTCGGGGCTGTATTGCAACGTTTTCCATACATATATATATATATATATTTATAGGTATATAAGGTATAGGTATGTACATTTTTTGTATATATGTATACATACATGCATACATACAGGCATGCATGCATACATACATACATGCATAGCTATAGGTGCATGCATACACTGCATCCACAGTTTGTGTGCATATATATATATATATATACATGTGCGTGTGTATGCATACACCTAGCTCTATGTGTATTCAGTTACGTCGAAACATGTGGATCACTGCTGAGACCAGCTATCGTAAAATAAGATAGGACAAGTTGACGCGCGCATCGAGACGTTGGGGCAAGCACCTTTTTGCTTGGATGGCTCTGTCCAAACAGTCTGTGCCGCTATTGTGTAGCTGGCCCGACGAATTACCGAACTCACGATGCAAAGGGTGGCATGCTTCGACTTGGTTGTTGATTGGCCCCACTTGCCACGCTTCAATAACAGTAGCAACAATGTAAACCACGGCAATAATCATAAATCGTCATACCAATAACAGCTGTGGCGCAGGGCACAATCATAACAAGTGTGGTTTACAGCTAAACTATTTAGTACTGTGTTTCTAGCAACTAATGAGAACCATCGAACAAGCGAAATACATAACTCTTTATGCTGATTAGTTATGAAAAGTACCGATATAGAAACAACCATAGAAATAAATGAGTAAATAAATCAATGGATGCATGGACGGACTCTGGGTGGGCGTGCGTAGATGGGTGTTGGTAGATACACAGACAAGAAGACCATCCCCTCCCATGTCAGTCACATGCCTTAAAAACATGGATCGGGCTGAAAGCCTGAAGGAGCTGACAGCCCTATGTGAGACGGCTGCAGCCTGGCGGCATCCATACGGACAGTCTCAGAAACCTCAAACTCGAAACCAGCACCAGGCCGTGCGTTCAGTCCCATTCGCGTGCCCTGCAACATGAAGAAGGGTATGTTGCCAACAGCGCCAGGTAGCACCTCCCTTTGTCACTCGTGCCGCTATCACAACTGCGCCCCTGCCGACAGTAACACAACAATTCCGGCAGAATCAAAAAAAGTGCATGTAGTGAAGGCTGCTGGCACCCAGGAGTTTGGTTTTGTAAAGTCAGGCTGCGTGTCCTTCCGGGTAGCCACACTACAATCCTGCATGTTGGAAGGATGAGGAGACATTTTTGGCAGCCAAGGCTCGCCTGAAGTTCTTCGATGGTGAGCTCTTCGAAGCGGTCTTCGTGCATATCAGGCCGCCCCAGTGCATCCGGGGACCCCAAAGGCTGTGCTGTGCCGCTGTGATCCGCTGTGCCTGTCAGTGCTTTCCGGTTAAGCCTTTCTGTGTTGAGTGCTTGCAGGTGTCGCATCCGCTGGGGTCAATTTGACATTCATCAAGTAACTGCTGTGGCCCAACACCTCGTTGCTGCTCGGCTAACTCTTGGGCTTCCAAGCTGTGACATGTAGTCATGCTCGTGTTTGCATGAGGACCTTAATGCCATCGACCCGGATGTCTTCCGTGACGCGATGTGCTCAGGGACCAGATCTGTGGAGATACGGAGATAGGGTGGTGACAGACGGATGAGGACGCTTGGATATACCATGCCTTGTTCAGGCTGGTGCCACGAATGACCAGTGTAACGTACTGCGCAGACTTTGTGGAGTGGTCGGGAATAGGAACAGCCGGTAAACGGCTGCGGCACCATCATTATCCGGCCGTTTCGCAGGAGCCCTCGTTGCAGTTGTCGCGTGGTCGCGAGGTGACACAGTGGCTCCTGCCCCGAGTTGGGAACATGTCCAAGGCCGGTGTCGGACGCCTGGGGCCTGGGGCACCGCAAGTGCGGCTGTCACCTCACGCTTGTGAATCCAGTTTGCCCCCCAAGCAGAAATTCTCGTTGTGGCTGTTGCAGTCCTAGCTCTCCCGGCCCTTTGCAAGCTGCGAGTCATGAGTCATGAGAATTCTTGCGAGCATATCTGGTTGAGACAAGTCGCTACAGGTACCGTAGCTGCAAACTTATGCTCTCAGACTCCGAAGGGAAACCTCAAATCCCCCTCCCCTCCATCTTGTCCCCGACTCCCCCAGAGCTCTCGGAGGCCATGCGCCTGCAATGGCTGAAGCTCATGGCTGCGATTGGTCAGAAGACGGAGCGCAGCGAGGATGTGCCGAGGCTCAGGTTTGGCTTAGGCTTAAGCAAGGTCCCGAAATATACATACATATATATACATATACGCACACACACTCTCCCCTTCCCCCTCTGTGTCTCCTACTCTATCTCTCTCTCTCTCTCTCTTTTTCGCTCCGTATCTCTCTCCTACGCAGATCCTGAGATCACTAAGCCACAAAGCCATCCCCGAGCTTTCACGATAAGGACGAGGACTTCGAGGAGAAGTTGCGCCACCTGGCTTGACTAAGCAAGCCTTCAGGGCATCTTCAAAAGGGTGCCCTGCTCACATTTCCGAGGAACGCACCCGTTGCCTGGTGGCGGGGACTTTACGGAGCGCGGAGATTCCCCATGAGCTGATCGCAGGTGGCATGTCGGGCCGGGCAAGTATACAGTTCGACGATGGGTTGTAGAAGCAGTCGAAGTAAATCGAGCATCGGAAATTCAGTGCTGCATCTGCGGACATGTTGACTTCGTCTGCACTTCTGGCGGTTGTAACTCCCACGATCTGTTCAATTGTTTCGAGAAGGATGCATCGCTGACATCGAGAGTTCAGACCTGCAATGCTGGAAAACAAGTTGATTAACGAGGCGTTGCCCAAATACAAAGGTTTGGAGAACTCTGCTGTGCCGCCCCTGGGCCGTTTGGGTGTTCTGCTATAGTACATATATGTACACCTCGAGATACCTCGAACCTTCGCGACTCGCTCAGCCATGCAGGATTCAAAAAACTCGAGCCCCCTCAACTTAATTACAAGGAGAAGCTGCCGGATCTACCCTAAACCCCATCGCAAGATCTCCAACCTTAGATGGACAAGGTCTTGAGTTTTGAGATGTTTGAATGTTTTCGCCAATGAAACGGATTCCCACGGCGACGAGGCAATACAGCTCGTTGAGCTTCGCGACAGCGCCTGCATGAAGCCTACTAACGGCAGCGCGTGCAACAAGCAAGAAGGAGGACACCGACGAAAAGTGCGATGTGCTTTGGGTTTTTTGTGTCCTTTCCTTGCAATGACTGTCGTAGTAGCTGCTGTGAACAAGCCTGACGAAGACAAAACGGCCACGGGCTGTTTTGCCCGAGGGCATGCTAGTGCCAAACCAGGCGGCCAAGCATTATACACTGAGTGAATTAAGCGTCATGAGATGCTAGATACGCTCTTGCTGGATCTGCCGGAATGCAGCAACCCGAAGAACATGTTCACTTGAGCCCAGCCCATTCGCGTTGATGATATCTGATGTTAGTAGAGCGTCCACATGCCGTCGTTGCACATGATTGTTATGTCGGTAGCCGGCAGAACTATCATCCTACAGCATCATTATTGGGCACGCTGAGAATCCGCACCTGCCCTTCGTCCTTGCATATCCGAAGCAGGGAGACGAGTTTTTCTCTTCCAAGGTGAACCACAAGCCTGGCAGCAAAGTGGCGAGGCTCAGACGCTAGGTCAGTGCGGTCATGCGGACTTGGCTCCCAGATGTTTCATTGAAGCGAAGTGTGCCCCCAAAATCCCCAGCTACCTCCTTTCAGCCATGGCAGGAAGCCGAGTGTGGACTCCTCCTCGGATTGTTCACATAAAGGATCAGCTTCGGTTGGAGTCTCGGAAGCCGGGCTAGGGGAGCAGCTTATGTAGGTCTGCATCGAGCGTATGAGCCAAGATTGCACCTAAAGACTCGCAAGTTGCCAAACCCGAGTGATAATCCTGCATCTTCTCGACCCCCGAAGTTGCAGGTTCCATCCGGACGGCCCTCCATCGTGGCAGGCGGCATCGCGTGCTTTGCTTTTTCCAGTGATTTTGACATCGCGAGAGTTGGGAAAACACGAATCCCGGTCATTCAAAACCGGTTGGAGGGTGAAACCAACTCCAGACTGGAACAGGTTCACCTCCTTTGCCCACACGCATCGCCGATCCTTCGTGGTCGCCCATGCCGAGGCGGGTGTTCCTCGACTCAGGTCCGTGTTCGCAAGTGGAGGATGCTTTCTGACAGGTTTGATGCAGGCTTGGAGCGTCCAGGGCCGAAGCGCAGAGAGTGTTCTGGGAGGTTATGCTTCGGAAGTGTCGGCAGAGACTTACTGCCACCAGTGTGTGGGCACTCTTCTGTGTAAAGGAAGTTGAATGTTGGGGCGGCCTGGACACCGCTAAACACCCGTTTGCCGTGCCTTTGCATTCTGAGCTCGGTGCGGAACTCGCCGATGCTTGTTGCATGTTCGCGGCCAGCATCAAACGTCCTATTGCGCACGCACTTTTATCTGGCACTGTCACCGAAGACCTTGTCAGGCCGCTGCTGCGTGAAGTTCCGGGACGGCCGAACTTCGTGGGAGACCAGGAGAACTGGTGAAGTCTGCATTTGAGGTTAGTGACTGGAAGTTGCACAACATAGGCAGGGCCAGTCGAGGTTTCGGCCGTCGTGTAGCTAGCCCAAATCCGGGCCTTCCGATCAGAATGGGGACACAAATCTTGACAGAACCGCTCCAGGCTGAGTTTGGCAAGATTATTCTGTATGTTTTCCTCCGATCATTGTATGCAAGCTTTGCATTACGAGGGCCTGCATGACAACACAGCAGTAGGCGTGAGTTCACGGAGGTTTTGGACATATCTTTGAGATTGCGGACTCTCCATCTAGCCCTAATCATTGTGTGTTTTTGAGCGTCTTGTGTTTGGTTTCGTTTGGGTCCCCGTTGGTCGCGGAGTTGCGAGTTGGCACAGGACGTCGGTACTTGAGCGGTTGTATCGCAAGTGTCGGACTCAGGGCTATCCCACCTCCGTCAGTCCCATGCGGCGAGAAGGCTGGAGACGCGCTTGCTTGATACTGCACATGTCGTCAACCACGAAGTACACATGAACTGTCGATTACAGTTCTTCTGCAAGAGTCATACTAATGCAGGGTTCACACTGCTCCCACATTGCCCTTTGCCTCTAGTTGAAGCTAGTTGGAAGCTGAAGAGTTCGCATCAGCTGCCCCGGTTCCTCTGCCAGGCGTGTCAGTCTCACCTTTCGTTAGAACACCGCCCCGCGCCCAGAAAGTCTGTCGGTCGTGAAGTCGGTCCCACTTAGTGGTCTCTGAGAGCTCTCATGGATGCGATGAGTTTCGTGCATCTGTCCCGCACTGTGTCAGAGCTTCCCTGCGAGTCATGTCCGACCGGCATGGACACACGTGCTGCCGGATGCAGGATGCACCTGGACTCAGTTGTTCCATCTCATAAGCCATATGCATATGCTCGACGACGGAACGGCAAGGATTGCTTGAGAAATGGATCAGGAGTCGATCACTTGTCGCCCATCATCGCCCATCCCCGTCCCCCTGCCCAGCAAGAACACATGGCAATTTACCCATTCCAATGCAAAGCAACGCAATCTTGGATGTCCCGTCAGGCGGAAGCCTCGGTGTGTTAAGGCTGTTGAGGGTTTGCTGGCTCCAAGCTTCAGAAGGTGCCAATCCCCCTGCAGAGCCACCGTGATCCAGAGGCCTGCTTTCTGGAGTTCACATCGTGGTCACAGGAGACGATCTTATGCATTTTTCCCCCGGTTCCAGATCATGTGCTGGCCTGGGTCGAATTGTTAATCTGCGGTCTGCTGTCATGTTGCAATCGTCTCTCTGGCCCCTTCAGTCCGACGAGCCCACGTTTCTGTCGCTGCAGTCCCTGCAGTGCGTGTTTTTTTTGCTAGTTGCAGCTGGCATGCAGCCCAACGGCCCCACTGAAGCTGACGTGCAATCATCGACATTTAAGCCCAGCATACAAATATAAACTAACATACATACGTACATACATACATACATACATACATACATACATGTAGAGGCCAGCTCCTCCTTCGCCACGAGCCATCGAGAAGCTGCTCAACGTGCCCATATTTCTTGGTCTCCTAGAGCTGAGATTGCAGAAGATTTTCATGGAATTTCATCCATCTATTGTCATTCCTGTCCTCATGGCCAGGATTGAGAAGTTGAGGGAGGTTTACGGGTTGGTCTTTGAGTGTGGGGGCATGTCAGATCACACGTACAACCTCCCTTGCTCCGCAGCCACTGATATTTGGGCTACAGTGACCAACTCACGTGAAGCAGTCTGGAATGCAGTTCAGCAATTTGAGCCAGCCGCCCACTGCCTGCACCATATAGTGGTGCATGTTATAGTGATCGACAAGCACCATCGTGATCGTGGCTTGCTGACTCGAGTGTTTAAGTTTGAACGCAGCCGCCAGCTCCTGGAACATCGGCCGCAGCAGGAGGCATGTTTCATTGTATTGAAGGTGGAGCTTCACTGGGGCGCAGAAGCCTAGCATTTGTTGTGCCGTAGAAGCTGCGGGCGGCCTTCCTTCACATCCATTGGCATCACACCCAAGCGCAAGGCAGCATGATGTTCGAAGCCCCTTTTTGAGCGTAGGGTGGCCGGGTTACCCTCTTTTGTCAGAGACGCCCATGACCGGGATCTGAGGCCATGACGGGCTTTGATTCGTCCTGGAGCTGCGGCGACCTGGCCCACAACCTTTGTGACGTCTTGGCAACTCGGCCAAGCTGGGCAAAGCAGCTGTCGCAGGAGCCAAGGCGTTCAGTGTTCGGGGCCCAAGCTTCGGAATTGGACTTTGGAGCGTGCCTGCACTCCTGCATGCCCCATTCGTCAAGACAAACCCGTGACAAGCCCATGAAGCCCCGAAGCTTCGCCTCCGATTCCCCAGTGCTAAATCCTTGGGTTGCCTCTGCTCCCAGGTCAAGAAGGGTCAGCTGAAGGACAACTGTGCAGGGGGATGTGAAGTATGGAGTCTGGAGGTTGCGAGGTGAGGTTCGTGCCTTTGTCTTGTAAGTTTAGCTGTAATAGCTACATGTATGCGAACTTCAGCATCTACACCTTGGGGTACATCTTAAGTCTGAGCCCTTGCGCGGAAGCATGCCCTTCGTTGGCCGCTTTAGGAAGTATCTTGAGCTACCAATGTCGTGTGGAATTCAAGGGGTCGTTCGCTGAAGTTCCGAAGCCCCGGCTGAGATAGATCCAAATTCAGAACTCCCTAAAATGCTATCCTCAGCTTCTCGGCAGGAGAAGCCCGCATTCATCCGCACAGATCGAGAGGCAAGATGATGGCATCGCCCCCCCAAAATTGGCTGCAAGGCTTCTAGAGAAGACGGTTCTGAGGCTTATAAGCACCTCAGATTCTATTGAAGTGTCTGACAGGCCAAGATTTTGCAGATTTTTGAGGGCATCGGCCTTGACGGGGCGAAGATGTCCACGTTCGACAATCCTGGCCCTTTGGTCCCTGGACCTTTAAAGCAGCGTTTGAGGCTTCTTTTCTTCTGAGACTCCCATGTTGACATTGAAGCTTTCTTCAGTTCGTTGAGCTATGGTCGGTATAGAATCAAGTGCCATGCAGATACTGTCTTGCATCTTTGCTTGAGGAGATGATGGTCCGCAAGAGCACCAATGGCGAGACGTGGGTCCAACATGTCCTCGACGGCTTAACCAGCAGCTCTGTTGTAAGCAGACGGATCCGGTCCCAAAATGGCAAGCGCTATCTGGGATTGTTTGTTCAGCGATTGGGCACGGGATATTTATCTCGCCTTCTTTGCGGCTTGGGCACTGCTGTTCCAAGTTATGCTTGGGAGGGGCCGTAGCTCCCGACATTCCACGTGCGAAGCGCCAGAAATCCGGGAAGCTAGAAACCGGAGCCCGGCTAAGCCTATCGTTTGGGCACCCTCCAGCCCTCCCTTGAGCTCCGGCAAGGCATGCTGCCAGAGGACAGGGCACGATCATGCCGTGAATCAGTTGTCCCGGCACACTGCAGTGGCACAGCCAAGACCAAGACGGCAGTTGGCGGGAAACCTTGCAGATGATGGCATGGATGTTGCACGTATGTTGTGAATGCCAGAACCTGGTCGTCCTATTCAGGGACAGTTCTTGATGTGGATCCAGTATTGTCAGTATTGTATGCCGACAGCCCTCACCGACGATTCCTCCACTCTGACCCACATAATCAAGTATTGCCGTGTCCAGGACGTGGCAAAAGCACAAAAGACGATGACCATGGATGAGGCTGGCATGAACAGTGGATGGGCATAGTTGATCACATGCCAAAACTCAGTGCTGCATTAATGATTCAGCGACGGGCATGCATCGGATGCTCGGATCATGCTTCCTTCCATTGGACTTTGGTTTCTGCTTCCATCCGGCTGCAATTCTGCAAGCAGGTGAAGCCGATATAGCAAGAAACGCACTTAGATCACAGTGTATGGCCCGTCACATGAACAAAACGATGCGCATGAAAGACCCCTCTTCTCAAACACGTGGGAAAACACGGAAACTGTGCAACATCTCGACATGTCCTTGAGACTGTGCCCGTAGACGCGGTTCAGAAAATTGATTCACGTCACCGGTCGTGTTTTCTCTCCAATTTTCGTGTCGTAGGCCTCGGTTTTTTCCCGGATATGCTGACACTTTTGCATTCTCGATTTGGGTTCGACTTATGGAACAGAGGCCATTTGAGAACCACTCACCATGCTCGACTCTTTTGGAACATTCCGATTACACTTTACTCCAACGCCAGACCGCGAAAGAAGAGCTGGCAGCAGCAAAGGAGAGGCCCAGTCTCGGAGGGTCTCTGTGGGCATCCTGAAAGAGTGAGAGGTGCTACCAGTGTGGTTTCTCAGACTGCTGAATCCTATAAGGTTATAAAGTATTTATGTCTTAGAAGAGTTTTTGTAGAGGGGTTCATAGGGATCGCTAAGACAAGTTCCTTTCTGTTTGGTGCTTTTAAGCGTTTCTTCTTAGCTGCTGACAGCTGGCATTCCAGCGCCTCCTGTAGTCCTGATCCAACCCGAGAGACCTCGTCTGGCAGTGTCCGAGTTGCGAGAGCATTCGTCATAAGTGACCAGTTTAGGGTTTAGGGTTTAACCACACCTTAGTTCTTGTCCCACGGCGATGCCTGGTGGAGGTCTGCCCAGCGAAGGGAGCGCATGCACGAGACAGAGAAAGAAAACGACCGAGGCCGGTGCCTGCATATGAAAAACCGTGGGGTGTCGGTATCATCTGTAAGAGGATCCCCTTGTAGTCCCTATCTATTTTTGTATATGTATATACTGTAGAACTTCCCAAAGCCCTATTAAGTCCTCAGGCCGTTTTACTGCATCTTCTCATATTTCCCACGTCTGGCAGGTTGAATCACAGGATGTGTGCTTACATACATTTTTCAGCAGACATTTACGCCGACTCGGTGCGTTTCTTGTGCGTGTGCGCGAAGGTGATCGAGACAAAGAGGGAGGAGATCGCCCGAAAGGAAAAGGCGCGACAGTTTCCAATTTATCTTAGCATTAAAGCAAGTTGCACCAGCATGCCATCAAGCGTCTAGAGAATTCAGTCTTAATCCTCCTCTTGTGCTTTCAGACAATTAGCAGCGATGCTGAAGATGCGCTTTTGCTGTGAAGCTGCAGCAGCGAGCTTCTGAGACATGCTGTATAGCGGTACGGTACTCGCCCACAGACTATGGCTGGAAGATGCGGGTCAGCGTTTGGTCGAACATGCAATCTTGGCGAAGGATGAACCATTGCGCTTGTCCCGGACGATGCAGCAGGTTGAATTCCAGACCAGAAATGTCCACGTAATGTCGATCTGAGAGCTGAAGGATTTTATAAGGATCTTGGCAGAAAAAGCCCAAAGTGATCTTATGCTTGCAGGCAAAAGCGATCGCCCTGATCGGGATCGCCCGGATCGGGAGCCGCGCAATGGCAACGATCGCTTTGGTGGAAACGATCGCTTCGGCGGCAGCGATCGTTTTGCCCGGGACAGGGATGAGGAGAGGCTTGCTTCTTGGGTTTTCACTTTCGAAGGCAATGAGCAGGCAGCTCATTGATGACAAACGGAACATGTAGAGAGATATTGACAAAATTCACCATACTGTGCTGCAGGACCGTGGAGATCGTCGCGACGGTTACAAGGGTGAAGGAGGCATGGCAGATGTGTTCAAAGGCTTCGGTTTCGGCTCGCAAGCTTGTAGTGAACATGTGCTTTCGTGCGTGGACGGGTGCAGCTTCAGAGTTCGGTCGGGCAGGATTTCTGCGCTTCGGACTGTATGTTGCCCTCATGACTCAGTGCCTAGCATGTATACACAGCACCGGCTGCTCGCCAGCATAGGACGTGCTGTGTCGCCTGATGTGAAGCGAAGGGAACGCCCCCTGGGCCTGCCTCCAGGCGGACGACGACGCGAGGGTGGTGGGGAGAACACGGCGCGGTGCTGAGGTTTGTTGAGGGCCCAAGGTCTACGCAGCACCAAATCAGAATGCTATCACAACTTCAACCGACGGGCAAGGACTCCATGAAGCGGCACGTTTAAGACATTGAGCCTTCTGCATGACAGTGCCCAAAAACCTGACTGGTCTGGTTCGGAAGTTGAAATCTGCATCCAACAAGCCACAGTGCTTAACCATGCTCGCCGCAGTCCAGTCTCACTGGCTCGTAGTTTGCACCCCCGGTCATGTCGTGCCCGGGAGACGTCTCCGAAGTGAGATTTGTCGGGTCATGGGAAAGAAAGGTTCCTCGGCTCCGAAGCCTGACGTTTGAGGGATAAGATTTCCGGAGACTTCGATTACAAGTAGATTTTGGGCTTGGCTCTCCTGCCCCTGCTGGAAGTTCCATACCGGTCAGATTCCTGGAAGTTCACCACCTTTCACCACCTCGATTCAGGGTCGGGCGGCAGAGAAAGTATTTGAATGCTAGTGCCCGCTGAGTACGTCTATGGCGGACGTTCGCAGCAGTACTACAGTTACTACAGAGTATTGCAGATCACCCGACCTTCCACCATGCCAATCGGCTCGATTGGGACCTTGTAGCTGGAGTGGCGTAGGTTCGTCAACTCGTGACACGGTGTATTTTGAGCCTGCACGTTTCCAGAACTGACGCGGTGTACAAAAGACATGACAAAGACATCGTCAGCTTGATGAGAATGCTTTCTGCTCATGCCCTAAAACATTGCAGTTGTGCTGGTGCTGAGAAAACTTCCCTCGGCTCCAGAGGCATGAAAAACACAGGGGGCTCTTTTTTCTCCGAGCTGTTGAACTGCGATGAACTGCGCACCAAGCCCTGGCCCCGAAGCCCCGAAGGCGGAAAGGCGAAGAAGGCCAATGCGGCTCCGAATCCGAAGTCGCCGAAGACCCCAACCTCCGCCAGAGCCGGGGCAAGATCTCTCTTTCTCTTAGATTCAGGGCCGAGTCCGAGCTGGGGATGAGGCTGAGCTTGACGGGCTTCCGATGAATCTGTCGGCGAGCAGCATGGTGTGAGATTGGAGGGCTGTCACGATGTGCGCAGTTCCAAGGATCCCTGCGGCGAGCAGGAGCAACAAGGTCACTTTTCGATTTCGGCGTCGTTGATGATGAGCCACTCGGCTGAAAGTAGAAGTCCACCTCCCCCACCTTCGATGTTAAACACTGTCGTCCAAAGCCTCACTGTGCGGCATTACTCGAGCTTCTGACCTCGCCTTACATGTAGCCTCGCACAATCATTCACGACGTCCGTGACCTTTGCAATAAGTGATGGCTCTTGAAGGGTCTCTGCTGCACGTTCGGATTAGACCCTGCGTACCGGCTTCCAAGCAGAGTCGACCTCAGTTAAGTCTCTACTTGCAGCTTCTATTTGTTATATTTGCCTGCAGCCCGTCCGCGCAGAATCATGTGCACCTACCTTAAATTGCATGCACAGAAGGCATCGCTGATTACCTGGAAGTGGCTTCTCCGGACCCATCCTGGTCGTCATTCATTCATGACAGAACGGATCCCGGTTTGGTTTTGGCACTTCGGATCTTCGGGTCACAGTATGGGGAATATCTGCAGGCCGGTTGTCGACAGACCACCTCTTCTGGTGGATGACACGATTGAGATAACGGTCTACACGAGTCCTGGAAAAAATCAGTCCGGGGAAGCCGGGTCAGTCCGGGTTCAGGATGTGCTGCATGAGGCTTTGGAGTACTCTCGGGTGTCCTATCCCCGTGCAGTTTGACCAAGTTCTCACCAAGGAAGCAGCTGAAGACACTGTGCAGCATCAGGGCCTACAGAGGCTGGAAGCTGTCCGATCTGAAGGATGGAATCTGGACGGAGACCAGCATTGCCCCGATTGAGCAGTGGCTTGGCGTGCTGGAGAGCGGCTTTCGTGCTTCAGACTTCAACGTGTACACTGCTGTTGCGAGGCTGTGTTGGTACCTGTTAGACTGTTAGATCTACCTTTTCAGGCTTTCAAGGCACTTGCTGTCGCAGGTGGAAGGCAGTCCAGTGCGGTATCTGAGATACAGGTTATAGTCCAGTCCCAAATAGTCGGTGCAGAAGATTTGGGAGTGTACCTCGTTCATCGTTCCCATCAAGAAGTCAAAAGGAAGATTTACGTCAACAACGAAGAGATGCCCAAGAATGTGTCTCGGCCTTGCTTTCAGAGTTTCCTGTGGAGCGACTGTCACTTCGCTCGCTCTCCGTTAGAGATACTTTCAGCTGAACACGCTCATCCTGCTCATGCTTATGGGCAGGTGCTGTTCCAAGATCTTTTTCCTGCTGCGGTTGCCGGGGCAGCTGTGACATTGACAAGGCGATCTCCCGAGCAGTCAGTCTGGCTGACACTGGGCAGCGAACGGCTGAGTGGTTGCAACGTTGGGATCTTACTTCGGAAGGTCAGGCCGTCCGTTTCTAGCTCCCGTAAATGAGGACGATATTTCCGACGAGCGGGTTATTTGTTAGCTGCGCGAATTCCGAACGAAAGCACGAGCTCTTGCTTCAAGGACATCCGCAAGTAGGACTGCTTGTGAAGCCGAAACACATGTACTGCCCCGGTTCTTTGTAAACCCCAGAGGAAAGACAGACTTGGAATCCTCACCGTCAGCGATTGAAGGCCAAGCATGCCGCATATACTGAGAGGCCACCACGCATGGACTGGACCAAAATCGAATCTGAGGCTCAAGGCCATAATTTGCTGCGTTTGCCATTTGCAAGGAAGAAGTGCATGGAGTATGGCCTTCAGCTACAATATGCTCCGAAGGCCTTGGAGGGATTTGTCCATTGCCATTCCTTCACCAACCTGTCCCTCGGATGTGTCGTTTAGCAGTTTGGGAGCAAACCATCAGGGGATCATTTTAGACCAGTTCCGAGGACTTTGGATAAGAGCACAACAACCCTTCCTAGCCTCCAACCGAAGGGGCATTCCCCTAAGATCATTGAACCTTGTTTCTGCAGGACATGCAAAATGACCTGGAGGTTGTCTTGGCAGCAGTGAAGCGGCAGCTCATCTCACTACCAGTGTGGAGTCTTTGAAGTGCGTTCCATACACGATGCGCGAAGGGTACTGTTGCACAAGCTAGTTTAACTGAGTCTTGCTGGAGATGTGTTGCTTGGGTGGTGTGCCTATGCAGAGACATGACCGATTCGTGAACCATTCGGTGTATTGCCGCAGGAACCCAAAAGCAATCCAGTACGCGTCCCCGGCCCTACGGAGCCAGACCCAGGCGCTTCCGATGCTGCCGCACGTGTCTGCAAACATTCGCCCAGTGCCGACTCACTTTTTTAAGCCTGTCTCTGTCTTCGGGATCGCAGCATCTCCTCGAAACTCAGATCCTGCTATAATCTGCTATATAGATCCTCCGCATGTCTTATAATCATAACAGGGCACCGTCGGCCCCAGGATAGCGTTGCAGTGCCTGACGCTCGCTTGCTCATAGTGGCACCTGTCCTGCACATGCACATACAACACATGCACAGGCTGCACGGGTGTTTATCGAAGCCTGGGAGCGCTGTGCAGCGACAGGTTCTACTCGCCGCCCTCACCCAGGACGTGGACACTGCAGACTTTCTGGATCCCTCGGTGCCTTGGAGAGCTTTCGAAGTGAGGGCTTCGGTTCCTTGTCTGGAGCTCTATACAGGTCTAGAGTCAAGAGGCTCAAGCAGAGCACAATGAGATGCTACCACTGGCAGTGGGTTTTCAAGCTAACCCTCTGGATCAATAACTTGGAGCGGAAGTCGAGGTTTGGTCCAAGCGCGAATTCGTGCTCGAGGCCGTCAGAATCGATTGGCAGCTGCTGCGGATGGCCTGCGAGGCGATCCGGGTTGTGACGATTGTCTGGTGCAAACGTTCATCGTTCGGCTTGGGCACCAGACAGACTGAGGAGTTCCAGAAGGATCCGGAAGTCGTCCTTGCAGCCATCCGGGGCCCCAAAGGGCACTGGGACGCCATTAGCGCTGGCTCTCCGGAAGTTCGGGGCTCAAGAGGACAGCTCGTACTTAGCCTTTTGCAAGTACCGTACAGTACTGGCAGTCAGCCATAAGCATTACTCCGAGCCGATACGAGGTGTGGGAGCACATCGAAGTCCCACGAGCAGCCGCGGAAACGGGTGGTTGGACTGTTCATGACATCGCGCCGCACGAGCTTCAGGCATCAAGTAGAGCTTTGGGTGGTGCTGGCCTGTATAGGACAGGATCCTCCGTAGTTGTTTCATCCATCTTCCGAGAGCCCGCGCGGCTTGAAAATCCAGGACGGAAAACTTGAAAACTTCACGATGCTAGTCTTTGCCTGGAACTTGGTTATCAGCATTGTCGTCGCTTATCGGCGAGCTGACACCGACTGTATACTAGTGTACTCTTCTTTGTGTATATTTTGTTTCAATTGCCCACCCCCATCACGAGACCAAGCATCGGTATCTGGGAGTTCAAAGCTGGTGGTTCCAGGCATCGTTCGGGTTTTCGAGTCGTGTTGGTTTTGCGTGGTATCCAACTGATAAGAATAGTCCGAGTCCTTTTGAGGCTTCATGTTCAGCACTGTCAACCGCAAAGTGTCAAGCACACATGTTGCTCATGCAGGCTGGTCTCAGAAAGGACAAGCAGTTCGCGCTGAGCTGCGTGCGCCTGGATTGGCGAAACTTAGACACCAGATTGCAATTAGACTCATTGTCTCCGGCGTCAGAAAGCATGCAAGCTTCAACGGGTGCATGGCTAGCGGCTAGCTGTTTGGTTGTATGCAGCAGGTGCATTACGTCCTGTCTGTCAGAGTAAGATGGATTGGCACCTCTAGTAATCCTGCCTTTCAAGGCAAACCTTCTGAGTTTGTAGCACAGTTTTATCGGAAGGGTGCATGCTGCACAATCAGCGCGTTATTACGTGAGACTGCTGTGAGCAAACGACGAAGCCTTTTTGTCAGCAAGGCTGGCATATCTTATCGCCCGTCCATCCTCAAGCCGCGTAGTTTTGTTGGATGGCGGGCTGTGCTGTGGAACCTTCTTCAACATCGGCGGCCAACCTGTTTGTGTCACGGCCCGTCCAAAGGAAGAGCTGCGTTTGCTCTTGCTCGGACGAAAATGTACGATATGATGAGTACTGCCGGCGGTGTGCCGGGTTCACAGAGATGTCTACATGGTCATGAAGCACACTCCGAGCAGAAAACGAAAAGCATGTATTTTGGCGACTGAGGAGAAGATCGATGTTCACCTTCTCAACGATCTGGACCTGCGCTACAGTGTTAATGGGGCTTGATGTCTATACACTGGATCACTAGGCCAGCTTTTTGTAACTGGAAGGCAGGGGTTTTTGATACTCTGGTTTGGTACTGTTAGCTAGCATTTATTGAGCAAGCCTTCTTTTGCGCTGCGAAGGCCCTCAAAGCTCAGTGACAGCACAGTGACCATGGTTCTGGTTGCCTTGTGGGTCCTATAATACTATAATACTATAATACTATAATACTATAATACTATCCTGCCCCGCCTTGGGGAGGGCTTCAGCGGATTTCAGCTGCCTCTGGCAATGCGGCCAGGACATTGCGCTGGCAGCCGTGTCTCAGGATGACAACATGTTTTCCTTGGTTTTTTCTCAAGGGATACACAGAAGGAGCTTCAAGGAAAGCCTTGAGCCGTCAGCACCTCAAACTTGTGTGTTATGGTAAGTATATGTATATAGTATCCAGTCTAGCTATGTTATGGGACCTTATATGTAGTAAGCATTAGAACTGTGATCAACTACGCATAGTTAGTAACGGTTCAGCCTGCGTGCCTTGAGTCCTCGGTGTTGAAGGAATCTGGAGGCGGTTTAGAGTTGAAGGGAAGGCGTTCACTGAAACTCCAGAGGGTGCATAGATCCTGCAATGTGGGATTCGATTCACGGTTCCTGGAAAGGCAGTGAGGTCTTGAGTCTTGCGAAGCACGAGTCAGCGACAATCAAATCGTGGCACAGGACTGGCGAGCTTTGCAATGGCTACACGAAGACTTGCGGAGCGATGAGGAGGTGATCCGCACGGTGGTGCAGCACAACTTTCTGTGCCTCACCCTGGCCTTGGAGGACTCGCTAGACTCCTTCATGGGGTCTACGAGTCTTTGGGGTAGGGCCGGTGGCCGGCCCGTCCTTCTGTCAGCTCGTCCGACCGACACCAAAGTCTGTCAGGGAACATGTTTATCATATACGAATACCCCATGCCGAAGAAACCGGCTTAGCAGATTTTGGTGTGCCTTGTGTTGTTGTGAACATGGCATCTAGATTCCCGAGTGATTGACAGAACAGACTCGTTGAACAGACCTGACAATGCCAGGGCGCAACGTTGGGGGCGTGAGGCCGCGCCCCTGTGAAGCGCGATGTCGCGAGAAGGTCGCGAGGGGTGGGAGGCCGCGAGTCGCGAGGAGTGCGCGAGGCCGCATGGTTGCAAGGCGAGGCGGACGTCAAGGCCGCAAGGTGACGAAACGGGGCGCAGCCTTGTCAGGTCCGTTCTGCTTTTGATTTTCGGGCTGCCTTTGGTTTGCGGTATTGTACGTAGTAGTGAGTTATAAGTTAACAAGTACCCCGATCCGCATGCGATTCCACGCGCTTGCAACATCATCCCAAAGAGTCTTGGCACTGCACGCCATATACACTTACATCCAGACTCCTGACGAAGATTATGGCGATGTTCATGGAGCAAAACGTTCGAAATGTACTCTTAGAGTCTTGGAGTATTTGATGAGAAGCAAGGAGTAGACCGCTCGCAAGGGACTTGAGTATTTGAGGAAACCCCTCGAAAGGGACTTGCACGTTTGAGTTCCAGAGGGACTATAGACTATAATTATTCAGTAAAAAGGGGCAAACCGCCCGAAAGGGACTGCAGTACTTGAGGCACAGGCATCAAACCGCCCGAAAGGCACTAGAGTATATGAGAAACAGGGACCAAGCCGCTCGAACAGGACTAAAGCATATGACAGACAAGGAGCAACCCGCCCGAAAGAGATGGCGGTGTTTGAGAAGCAGGGAGCAAACCGCACAAAAGGGATTAGAGTAAAAAAAGAATATATATATATATATATATATATATGCGAGTGCCAAAAATATGAGAAGAAGGGAGCAAACCGCCCAGAGCACATGAGAAACACGGAGCAAACCGCTCAGAGTATTCGAGAAGCAGTGAGCAAGCCGCCCGAAAGGCTGGAGGGTTTGAGAAACAGTGGACTAGAGTTCTTGAGAAGCAGACATCAAACAGCTCGAAAGGGACTCGAGTATTGCAGAACCAGGAAGCAAAACGCTCAAGGTGGACTAGAGCGTGTGAGAATCTGGGAGCCAACCGCTCAGAAGGGACTACAGTATCCCACAAGCAGGGAGCAACCCACCCCAAGGGATTAGAGTATTTCGGAAACAGAAAGCAAACCGCTCGAAAAGGACTAGATTGTTCGAGAAACAGAGAGCGAACCCGGAAGGGACTAGAGTATGTGAAAAAAAGGCGAGAACCGCTTGAAAGGGACCAGAGGAGAGTAGTTGATAAACAGGGCGTGCACTGCTCAAAAACGACTAGAGAATTCGTAAAAAGGAGCAAACCACGCGAAATGGACGCGAGGATCGGAGACACCCGGCAAGCCGGGCGAAACGGGCTAGAGTATCTGAGATTCAGGGAGCAAATCGCTCGACGAGGACCTGACCATTCCAGAAACAACGAGCAGACTGCTCGAAAGGGGCCAGAGTATTTGAGAAACGGGGAGCAAACAGTTCGAAAGGGATTGGAGTGTTTGAGAAGCAGGGAGTAAGCCATTGGAAAGGGACGAGAGGATTTGATAAACAGGGGGAGCAAGCTGCTCGAAAGGGACATAAGTGTTCGAAAAACAGGGAACAACACGGCTCGACAAGGATTAGAGTGGTTGAGAAACAAGGAGCAAACCGCTCGAACTGGCCTAGAGTATTTCAAACAGGAAGCAAATCCTGCGAAAGGGACAAGGATTCTAGAAATAGGGGGCAGGCCGCTCTTTGAGTATGTGACCAGCAGGAGCAAACCGCTCGCAAAGTAGAAACAGGAGTCAAGCCGCTCGAAAGTAACTAGAACATGTGAGAAACACGAGGCAAACCGCTCGAAAGTGATCAAAGTAATTTGAAAAACAAAGCGCAAACCGCTCAAAAAGGACGAGTATTTCAGAAGAAAGGAGCAAGCCGCTCGAAAGGGACTAAAGCATTTGAGAAACAGAGGGCAAACCGCTCGAAAGGGATTGGAATATTTGAGAAACAGGGACTACACCGACTAGAGTAAAGTGTCTGATCAACAAAGAGGCTAGCCGCACGCAACGGAGAAGAGTAGTTAACAGCTCGCAAGGGACAAGAGTATTTGAGACGCAGAGAGCAAGCCGCTCGACACGGGCAAGAGTGTTTGAAGAACATGGAGCAAGCCGTACGAAACGGACTTGAATATTTGAGGCACAGGCAGAAAACCGCTCGAAAAGGAACTCGTGCAGTTGAGAACCACGGAGCAAGTCCGGCGAAAGGGACCAGAGTGCGTGAGAAACAATGAGCAACCCGCTCCAAGACAACAGGGAGCATACCGTTCGAAAGCAGTAGAGTGTTTGAGAGACACGGAGCAAACCACCCGAAAGGGACTAGAGTATTTGAGAAACAGTGAGCCAACCGCCCGAAAGGGACTATAGAGTGTTTGAGAAAGAGAGCAAACCGCTCGAAAGGGACTACAGTATTTGAGAAACAGGGAGCAAACCGTTCGAAAGAGACTAGAGTATTTGAGAAGCAAAGGGCAAACCGTTCGGAAGGGACTACAGTATTTAGGAAATGGGGAGAAGCTGCTCGAAAGGACCAGAGTGTGTGAAAAACAGGGAGCAGCCTGCTCGAAAAGAATTGGAGCATTTGAGCAACAGGAAGCAAACCGCTCGAAAAGCTTCGAAAAGTGACAAAGATGTTTGAGAAACAAGGAACAAACCGTTCGAAAGGGACTAAAGTTTCCGAAAGACACGGGGCAAACCGCTCGTTAAGTGACTCGAATATTCCGAGGAACAACGAGCAAACCGCGAGTGTGTTGGAGAAGCAGGGAGCGAACCGCCCAAACGGGACTAGAGTATTTGAGAGACAAGGAGCAAACCGCACGAAGGCGACTAGTTTGTTTGAAACAACAAGCAACAGACCGAAATTGGAGTACTTGAGAACGGGGAGCAAATGGCTCGAAAACAACAGGGAGCACACCGCTCGAAAAAGGACACATGTGCTTGGGAAACACAGCGTAAACCGCTCGAAAAGGACTAGAGTATTTGAGAAACAGGGAGCAAGCCACTCGAAAGGGACTAGGTATTTGGGAAACAGGGAGCACACCGCACCCAAAACACTAGTGTATGTGAGCAACCGGGGCCAAACCGTTCGAAAGGGACTAGAATTTGAAAAGCAGGGAGCAAAAGACAAAAGTGTTTGCGAAGCCAGGAGCAAACGGTTGTAAGGGACTGCGGCATTTGAGAAGTTAGGAGCAAATTTCTGGAGCGAAAATCTTCAGTATTCGAGAAATGCCAGCGGATCAAAGCGCTGGAACAGGGCCCCGAGTAATTGGGAAACCACAAGCAAACCGCACGAGAGGGACTAGAGTATTTGAGAAATAGTGAGCAAACCGCTCGAAGGGGACTAGACCATTTGAGAAGTCAGTGACAAACCACTCGGAAGGGACTTGAGCATTTGAGAAGTTGGGAGCAAACCGCTCGAAAGAAGGTATTCGACAAATAAGGAGCAAACCGTTCGAGAGGGCGAAAGGGACCAGAGTGTTTGAGAAACCGCTCGAAAGGGATTAAAGTATTTGACCAACAAGAGGCAAACCGCTCGAAAAGTGACAAAAATGTTTGAGGAACAAGGCAAAAACCGTTCGAAAGGGACTGAAGTATTCGGGAAACAAGGAGCAAACCGCTCAAAAAGTGAAAAACAGGGAGCGTCCTGAGGCCGCGCCGCGAAATCAGGTCGTGAGGCCGCGGGGCTGCGGACGCGAGGTCCTGAGGCCGCGAGGCCGCGACGAGGCAAGATCGCGAGGTCGGGTCGTCAGGCCGCGAGGTCAGGCATTGAAATTGCCGCGAGGTTACCCAATTCTGTAATCCCACTGTCAGACTTGATCTCGTAATTTAAGGGTCCCGCTCGTGGCCGACATTTCGTTTGGACCCCAAACGCTTGTTGCTGACTGCTTTTAAGTCGTACCGTCTAAAGTCTATAGGTTTTGCATTGAGTGTGATCGGCCGAGACATTCGGACTCCGCCCCCTTGGAAAACACATGTTGGGTCGACAAGTAGTGACAAAACCACTTCTAGTCGCTCGATGCGCAGCCCCCATAGAAGTGCCAGGAGTTTCCGATTGAGCAGCCGGTGGTGCTTCAGATCGTCCGGCAGGATGCCTTCGATTTAGTTTCAGCATCAGTTGTTTGATGAAATGACTGCTGTGATGGGCTCGTCTCATTCAGGGATTGTCTTCGGGTTTTGAAGAGGCTATCTCGTTGCCTGTCGGGCTGCAATGAAGTCGCAAGCCCTGGGAGTTCGAAGAGCAAGGCACTGCCTGAAACATGGAACCCTGTGCAGAACTGGGAGCTCTATGCGCACATCAAGGAGGAGCTGCGGATCGATCCACAGCTTTCCCTGGCCGCCATCTCCCAGCGCCTCTGCGCAGGGTCTAGGTCCTAATCTAGGTTCGTTTCGGTCTTGCATTCATGTGCAGATCGCCACTTCATGGTGCATTGCTTGATTTAGGCCCCGGCGCTAAAGGCTTTTTGGCGGTGTGTGGGTGTGTGTGCATGAGGTTGTTTTTGCTGTTCAGGCCCTGTGGTCGTTGAATGCTTGTTGATCCTCGCTTTGAGCCTGCATATGGCAGGTGCTGGCGCGCCTTGGATTTTGCCCCAGAGGCTCGAAAGGCTGACCCAGAAGTGGTCACCGTCGCCTGCAGGCGGGGGCCTCAAGGGTTGTGCACTTCGGCATCGACGGTGGTTCTGGGAGACTCAAGCTCACGTTTCTCAATTGTGCTGTCTGTGAGGGCCAAGCAGTCTCAGGGCTTTGTGCTTGCACAGGGCATGTACTTGCCTGCCTAGAGCAGTGTTCTGTAGCATTGGTATCACGGCCGTTTGAAGTCCATAAAGACCTCTGCAAAGATAAACGGACCTGGTTCTGCACCAAGAAGGCGGACGGAAGGTATGGGAGCAGCGTGTGAACTGGTTATCAGGAGTTGTTGGGCCATTTTGGTGGCACGGAGCTGTAGAGCTGCTAAGTGATAACATTCGTAAGAGCCCGTGGCTGTGGGGCTGAAGCTGGGCTCTAAACCTATCCAAGGCAGAACAGCGAGGCGATCCTACTGGCCTCGCCCAGCATGCGGCTGGGCAGAGGCATAAGCTGATATCCTTCATCCGTGGGATTATTTCGAGCGGAAGCCCTGAGTCGAAACTGCAGATGAGCACGTTCAGAGGTTCAGTGCCTCGAATCGAAGCACGGAAAAACATCCCTCGATCAAGATTCCGCGAGAAGCCGACAGGGCATGTGAAAATCTCGGGTGTGCCATCGTCGCTTCTTGCTCACGCAAGGTTTGCCCACAAGGGTGTGATGTCCATCGTCCTCCAGGATGGGCGTGAATGACGGAGTGCTTATGTTTCCTGAAGAGACCGGAGGGCATCTCAGAAGCCCAGTTCTGGAGAATTCTTCCGGTACTGGCATCAGGCCCCCTGCAAGCCAGGAAGATCCGATGAAGCTGCAGCTGGCAGCCGACAACGTGAAGGACGACGAAAAGATGGTCCTGGATGCTGTTAACAGAGACTGGCGCTGTCTACAGCTTCTGGGATGGCAAGAGTGCAGCAGATCACTGCAGGTCACTGCACCAGGCTGAAGTGCATGTCAGGCTACCAACTCATTTCCAGAACTCGTTTGTAAGACTTTGGCTTCCAAAGTAGGCTGGACAGCGACAGTCCTTTTAACTTTAGCTGTCGCAATGGGCCCCGTTCCAGGTCGTCATCCAAGGAAATTGGCCCAGGCCCAGCCCCTTTGCTCGAAGCCGCTGTCCCCAGAAGATCGGATCATCTGTTTCGTATTGCTCAGCTCAGGTACGCCTCTGACCGTGTGCGTTCGATTCCAGACGTAGTTTTCCCGGCGCTTATGCACGACCTCTGCGTCTCTCGGCTTGGGGAGGGTGCTGTTTGCACTTCCTCACAGGAGTGGAACTATTTGTGCTGATTGAAATGAGTCGCGGTCTTCGTGTTCGGATCGCGATTGCAGTTTCTTTGGGGGACGATACATATGAATAGTGTGAAGAGAATCAGAATGGCAGACTTCACATACATGCAGACCCGTGCGACTCATCTTGGCAACGATCCACTGCCCATGACTCAGTACCTAGCTTCTGCTTCCACATTCTACATGTACCAGTCGACAGATTTTTTCCTCCTCGTCATTGTTGCAGCTTCTTGAGATGTACACCACTCAACTCCGCATGGTCGCAAAACACACTTCTGCAGGTTCTGGGCTCCCACCTGAGTATGGTAGACAGATATCTGAGGTTATGGATTGGGCATCGACGGCACTCAGATCAGATGCGGCGGCGATGCTGAAATTCATTCGCCACCGGAAAGATGTGTTTCCTTTCGTGACGGACTCACTCATTGCAGATCCGGAGTTTGTCCACGCAGTCGGATCGGATAAGAAGCTGGGGCGGAAGCTAGTGATGGGCATCCTCCAGCGCAACTGGCGGTCTTTGGAGCACGTGCCCGACTTCATGAAGAGGGACCCTGAGATAATCCTCACGGCTGCCAAAGTCGACTGGCATGCCATTGTCACGGGGCCCCGCAGAAAGCAGGCGTTTTGTATAGGCTTTTCTTCTTTTCCATGTCGCAAGACGCTCTCTCTTGTGGTTGGTCTGGATTCAGTTGCCTCAGGAAATGGTCGAAGACTTCTACGACTGCTGGTACCACCCAAAGATCGCGCTGGCTGCCGTGGAGCAAGACTACAAGAACATACTGAACCTCAACTCGTCCATGTGCCTTGGGTCATTTCCTGCTGTGATTGCAAGAGGGAGTTCTTTACTCGTGTGTGCGCAGTACCACGAGTTCATATCCCATCATGCTAGCGGACTGATCGGAGCTGTTGCTATCATCAAGTTCGTTTCGTGCAACTTCTCTGCCTGGATTGAGCCTGGAATCTAAATCTAGGCACAGCACCCTGTTTTTGGCAAAAGTTTTTGGTGATTGCTCTGGCGACCCCTGGTTTGGACTGCCTAATAGTTCATGCATGTTGAGAATCTGCAACCACCTGTCTCGGCTGTCTAGAAGCAGAAGGGACATGGACGTGCAAGCCTGATTAACTGGAAGTACTAATCTCGATCCACATGCCCACTTAACGCATGCGAGTAGTCCTGTAGAAGCAAGTTTTAGCACAGAAGCTCCGACAACAGGCCTGTGGGGCTGCCAGAACTCATCCAAGCACACTGTCACATAACACGTTTCTCCAGCCTTTAGCCATGCATGCGAGTCATAGAGGCACAGAACACGAGTGCCAAACCGCACATGAGCAGAAAAGGTGGGAAGACTTGGCGATCGTTGTAGCCGCGGTCCAGCAGTGCTTTGGTTGATGACTACTCTGAGACTTCCGGCATTCGTTGGTCTCAAACATCACTTAGGAACTACAATATCCTGGAGGAAGCACCTGACTTCCTCGTTCGGAGGCCTTCCGCACTTTTCTTTGCGGACAAGCCTGCCAGTCCAACTCCCGAAGATGTTTCCGTGGACGTTCGGAGAAGTTGGCATTGGGAGGGTCCCGCGTGTTGGACATCTAGGGGAAGAGCAGAAAGACCCATCGGCGCGAACGCACAACACCTTTACTTTACGTATCACCATGGACTTGTTCGTTGAAGCAGTGGCAAGACAGGCTGTGGTCGGAGGAGGAAGTTGTTCGAGCCGCCGTCGCGCAGGACTGTCGAGTTGCAGACAAAAGATTGGCATTGGGGTCCAGTCCAGGTTCAGTCTTTTGCAATGCAACGGTTTCTAGCACGAGCACCCTGCCGCATCGGTGCAACCGCTGTTGAACGTCGCAAGACGATTAATCATGAACCACCCACACACCAGCACATTATCTGCATTGCAGCTCGAGCCGCTGATCCAGGATCCGTCGGTGATGAAGAAGGCAGCGAAGCCACTGTGGGCAGAGAAAGAACTCGTGCTCGAGGCGCGGGAGTGGGTCTCAAGGCCCCACCCGATTCTCGTCACTCTCAATTTGCAACCATGGCTCTGTCAACATTTTGAAGGGCTAGCAGCTAACATCAATCTTGGGTCGAGTTCTTGATGCACGATTAGGAACGGCATGCTCTGCGTCCAAACTAGATGACTGTCTTGCTAAGCCGCTCAGCCGGAAGGCATGCCGCGGTGACTGGACGATCATGGAGAAATGCCCCAAGGAGTTGGTCAGGGCGTGCCTTGCTCTGGTTTTTCAAGCATCCTTCGGCTGCTGCTGAAGCTGCAGTCCCCGATTTGAGGGCTAAGCGGCTTTGTGGGCTTTGGTGCCAAGAGAGGCAGAGAGAAGCTTTTGACCTGCTCTTTGTAGTCGCACCGAATCTAAGCTTCTGCATAGCCTGTCCTTAGCGGCTGGAAGAAGAGGGTGCGGACGTCCATCCCTTTTTAAATTTGCTATCCAAGGTATTGGAAGGACAAGGATTTTGCCATTGCCGCGGTGGCCCAGTCAATAGATGCAATGACCCATGGCATGAAATTGGGGTACGGCACAAGGACTTGGGCAGAGGTGCACGACAGAAAGGCGGAGTATTCAGCGTTTCTGGGGAGTGGTGGGAGAATCAGAAGTGATTCCATCGGACAGGAAGTCTACATTCTACATGCCTTCAGAATGTGTGCAACCAGCACGAGTGACATCTGGAATGTAGGTCCTTCCCGATTGCATTGAAGCGGGAACAATCGAGGAAGAAGCTCCCCGACAGCTTCTGGGAGGACAAGGAAATCATGCGTGTTGCGGCAAAAACCGACTCCAAAGTAGCTTGGCCCGAGACGCTCGCGTCCTTTGGTTGCTGGCGTTCCCAACTTGGCGCATGGGATATACGCTCAGGTTATCTACAAGTGTTCGGCCTACAACCAGAAGTCTCTCCTGGAGGACAGGGAGATTGTTCTCACCTGCGTTGCACAGAGCCTCGGCTTTTTACCATGCCTTATGTATGTCCATCCTTCAATCATGGCTTCTTGGGGCAAAGCCCGGTGAGGAGGCTGCGGGCCCGCACGCCCCACACGGGCTAGCAACTTTGCAACTCAGGAATGGCTTGATGCTGAAAGATGCTGATGAAAGCTTGCAGTACGACATGGAGATCGTCAAGACTGCCGTGAAGGAGAATTGGACAGTGTGACTCGACCTCTGTTGGGCTCACTCAATAGAAGTTTGAAGTGCGATCCCAGCATACCACTGCGCACTCCCAGCGATTCTGACAGTAGTCTTCAGGCCCGGCGCGAGCTGCAAGCTGCAGGCAAGCTTTAGCACTGAGGATGGACAAGGTGAGCAAGTACTACCAGAATGTCTACTGGAATGACGAGGTCCGCGTCTCCAGCGCTGTTTCCTTCAGCTTGGTGCTCTGTAGTTCCTCAGGAAGGAGTCGTATAGGTTTTGTTCGATGTCGTGCTCAGATTGGTGACGTGCAGTTGTCGCTGACGATCTTAACTTTGTATAGAGTCTATAGAGGTACGGACATAGAGCAGCTCAGGAGTGCCACATCACAGTCAACACAGCATCTGCTATGACAATACAAAGAAGTTCAGGGTGCACAGATGTTGTCATTTTGCATTTCTTCTCGGATGCACGTGCCAAGTTTTGATCTTCCCTGTAAACGAAGCAAGACTTTGCGATGGCTTGCTTGTTTTGATGGACGCATGCATGTCACAGACCTAAGTGGCAATCGAAACATGCCTACACAGGACATGCCCATGCCCTGCTTGAGCACATCGGCGTTCATCGCCCGAATGGTTTTGTTCGCTAGCTATACCATGTAGGTTTGCTTCATGAGACGTGGCCTGCGGTTTTTATATCTCAAACTTACAGCAGCTTTGCATCAGTGCAGCAGGAGTGTGCAAGGGTGGCCCTCTTCCTTGGCTCCAAGTCCGCAGAGGCAGATCTCTCCTCTCTGGAGAAGGCCCGGAAGCTTGTTTTTCTCCATTTCCGCTTTACTTTCAGTGTTGTTTTCCCCATGAGCGTGGTGCGCACACTCCTCACTCCTGGCACTTGTGGGAAAGCACGGGGGCCGTGCTCCTAAATCCCGCCAGTCTCCTGTGTCCTGGTGGTCTTCGTGGTCGCGGTCGTCACGGTCGTCGTGGTGCTCTATCACTGTTTGGGTCTATCTTGCTATATATGCTGAGATAGTTACTACGTGGGAAAACCGTGTACAGCATCAGTGATCCAACCTTGACAGGTGGGCCCAAAGCTCCAGCAGAACAAGGCTCGGCGACACCTGCGTTCTTGAGATTGGCAAGCAATGGACGCATGAGACCAGGCAGTGCATGTTTGAGGTCGGGCAAGGCAGATCTTACGATGACAGAATGCAATACTGAACTCAATCAGCTTCCACTTTGCAAGAACGGACGCCTCGGGTTTCTCTCCGAGTCGTCGGGGGTGCAACCGAGAAACTGTAGGCCAAGCAAGAACCAAGGATTAGCATCGCAGTTCAGCCTGTCATACAGGCTTACCTGGGCGCTGTTCAACTGCTGCTCTAGGTTGGCGCACAACCTCCAAAAACCTTGCCTAGTTTTTGCGGATGGCGGGTGTGGAAATGGCAATCCGTGCCGACAATTCCTGAAGAGGCATTCATCTTTGACTGCGTGCGGGCACGAGGCAAGCTCCTGGAACTGGCGAGGGAGCCACTCGCAGCAAGCCCTGCTGGGTCACGGTTTAGAGTTTGGAGTTTAGACGAATTTTGCAACCGATAGTTCGCTTGGATCCCAGAAAAGCTACTTCTTTTCTCCCTGGTCCTCCCTGTGTTGACGTCGCCCGCTCCATGTCATGGGATGAGATTTCGTGCGTCGCCTTGTCTTGGACTGGGCTTCTGCATGTCGCTGAACTGAAGCCTCTTTCGGCCTGAGCCTGCCTTCGAGACTACAGCCAGACGGCCCGATGAGTTTATGCAGCAATCCATGTCAAAGCAGCTCGGAGTAGAGGCTTCACTTGTCGAGCCTGACACCATTTGCCGCCCAAACTTCTGCAGGACCCCACCACAATTTGCGAATTGATCGATAAACTCCCCAGGTTCTGGGACGACGCCGACATCGTCCAGGCCCGATTGTCAACAACTCACAGCTTCTAGTGCAGGTTCGCTTATGGCTCGAATAAGCAAGCCTAGGTAAACGATTTTGAACGCGTACGTTAAGATACCAAGGCCGATGACGGCCAGAACCGTTCCGAAAACTTGTTTCCTTCCCGAACCAGAACTTTCTGACCGCACGTCGCATCACTTGCATCCAGTGACACCGACAAATACAACATCTCCAGCTCTACGAAATGTTTGTAAAATCGGCCTGTAGCGCCTAGAAGCTTATGCCACATACGCTCAGTTTAGAGTAGTCCAAGAGCGAGCAAATTTCCTACCAGGTTCAACCCAGTCCTCCATAGTCGTTTCGCCTGATTTTTCCGAAGGCAATCCGTGAGGAACGAGTTAAATACGCTTTCACCGAAGATTCAAGCATCATGCAAATACAGCGCGAGCGACCAAAGCTAAGAGATGCTCTGGCAGTAGTTCGCCAAGGTCGGCGCAAGCAATCTTATTTAGCTGTCACACTGGACGAAACGCAGCAGTCGAGCAGTGCTTCGAGAGAGAGGCAGTGCGAATCCAAGCACATGCACATCGTCGAAACCAAAACACCCATCAACAGCAGATTCCTGCTATGCTCGTGAAGAGTGTCGGCATCGTCTGAGCAAATCTGAGCTTCGTATTTCGTATGGGAAGCCAAGGCGGCTGTGGCACAAGACGGCATGGCCTTACAGTTCGCATCAGAGCGGCTGCGTGCCGACTATGGCGTGGTCAAGGCCGGGTCCATTGCAGGGGCTGAGGGCTTAGGAATTTGGAAGTGGTCGTCCTGCCTCGTCCTCGTTGCAGCAGTAGCAGCTGCAGTAGTGATGGTCTGGCGCACGGTGTTGAATCTAGTCGGAACATCTATAAGTTGGCTGCCACTGCCGCCGCTGCCTTTGCTGGTGCTGCCACCGCCGCAGTTGCTGTTGCTGTGGCTGTCGCTGTTTCTGGTTTTGGTGTTGGTTCCGGTTCTGGTTTTGGTGGTGGGGGGGGTAGTCGTCATCGTCGTGGTCGTCCTCGTCATTGTGGTTGCAGCTGTAGCTGTCGTAGCTGCTTGTCGCCATTGAACACGAAAAAGTTTCTGCACATTTCGGCACTCTTCGGCATGTTACGAAGCTACGCAACATGGATTCAAGGTCGGTGCACTGGGCTTACGGCTAAGAATCATTTCGGGCCGGGCAACCGTGTAAAATCTGTAGAATAGGCCCAACAGGACCGAAGGATTGAATCTTGTATCTTTCGCTTTCAGCGAAATTCTTGTTTTTCAATCCCTGGAAGGTGGCAGCAGCTCAGAACCCAGGGGCCTTGAACTTCGCAAATGAGGAGCTTCTGGAACAAGGAAAGCTCAAAGACGCGAAGTGAGGGACCGCTGACGGTAGAGGCTTCAGCTTGGGCGACTGGACCTCTTCTCAACTTGTCGGCTCAACCTGCGGATCTACGACCCCTGCATGCTCTTAGGCTGACAAGGCTCCTCTAACCGTTGACAGTTGACACATCTAGACAGCATAGGCATATATATATAGAGGCCTAAGAAGCATTCGCTTTCAGCAAGGCTGTTCGCAAGGCAGTGCTGTGAGAAGTTGGCTTTGCAGCAACTGCTTTCCTCAAAAACCTAAGCTGAACAGCGAGTATTCCCGCAGAGGATTGGCAATTCACTAAAGTAAGAACCTTGTGACGACTATAACGATGTAAAGATAGCGTCATTGAGCTATGTGTGGGCGTAAAATAAGCGTTTCGCAATTTCGCAATCCACCCCCCCCCCCCTCGTTGTCGCCTTCGAATTGGAGCGGAAGCCCACGCAAAGCTCAGTCTCCCAGCCTGCGTCTGAGACGCCAGGGAGTGATAGAAACGAGCCTGCCAAGTGTTGGAAAATGGAAGCAAATGGGCACTTTGCAGATCTGTAGGCCCTGACAAACAGGCAATCATTCAGGAATTCGGCTTGGGTTGCGGGCTTGCGGTGAACACCGGAAAGTTGCAGCAAGCAGCGATCTGACTTGACTGATGCAGATTTCGGGTGGTGCTTCATGCTTCACGTGTTTCCTGGTCCAACATTTCAGCTGCCGCGCATGGGACCCGAAGCTCGTCCTGCATGCCTGCAGCACAGGAGAAGGGAAAGGGCCGTGGAAAGGGCTACAAGGACCGCGCCGAACAGCAATGCGGGACTCTCGTGGGGCCTTTCGGGTTTGTGGCGGAGGGGGTTGTTGTCCATTTCAGGTGATTGTCGCAGTTGAGCATTTCGAAAATGTGGGCAGGGTGGAGGGCGAGCTTCGGATGCCTTTTGCCCGAGGCAGGCTGGGCCACATACGTGCTGAAGCAAGAGACCACTCCCTGACATATACTGCCCAGCATGTCGCACTCTCATCCCGGTCCCTCTTATAGACCCGGACAGGACAGTAAGGAAGCCCAAGATTTGCAGAAGCTCAGGTTTCAACTGCAAGCAATACGGACATCGATCCCGAGACTGCCCCGAGCCGCCCGACGAGGCTTGGGCCGTTTGGGGGATTCGGATCTTGAAAAAGTACTGCTTCGTAACACATCGCATCAAATCCTATGCAGACAACCTCACGTGGCGGGACCTGCATGAAGTATTGAGAATTTCGGGTCGAGTGGTGGTAGATAGTGTTGCGTGAGGCCTCGTTTTGAGCTGTGGGGCTTTGAATCTCGGTTTGTGCTGAAGAAGACAAGGCGGTGGGAGGTAATCATTGGGGATTGACTACACGGAACGTGAGTGCAGAAAGCGGGAGCTGAAAAACGAACAGAGCTGCAGGAGCTGGTGCGCCAGCGACTTGCTGCAAAGGCAGAGAAGGACTGCACCAGCATCAAAGATCTCGTTGTCTCTCCGAGAGAACCTGGTCAAGCTGAGGATCAACAAAGCATGCAGTTGGAATGTGGCCCTCCGATACAAGTTTTGACCACGCAGGAGCGGAAAGAACGAGGCGACTAGTCGACATGGCAAATGCTGAAGGCCCCGCCCAGGGAGTAGTCAAGGGCCTGCATCGGGGCATCATGGAATCTCAGCTACGTGCATATTGAGTCCTGCTTGCCTTGGGCAGCGCCAAGATGCAAAGAGATTCAAATCCCCAGCCCAACACCTGCCAGGTCAGGGGCAGAGTGTCGCCACGGGGCGATTGCTGGGCATTTTGTTGGAGAGCGGGCCTCCTTGGCGTCGGGTGATATTGGAGAAATGTTTCGGGGTAAAGGGTTCTATAAATTCCAGATAGCCGAGTTTCGTCTCACCCGCCAAGAGTGAGCCGCTTTTGTGATCCACGGCTGCCCTCTGGAAACCTCAGCCATGGCCGCGCCAGGAATGTACCGCAGAGACTTCGGAGGGCGGTAGTCATCACACGCCCACAGTAAGTTCCTGTTGATGCCAACCACGTACCTATCTGACCTATCTTCATCCACAGCGACATAATGTACGCTACTACAAGCACCGCAAGCTGCTATCTATGATATTTTGCGGACTTTCGGTGCGGTGTTCACAAGCACGCAGTTTTCTCAACAGCAGCTGGCGAAGCATCGATATGCAAAAGTGCTCTGCTCCCATGCGCAGGCTGCACAGGCTTGAGTTCATGTCTGAGGGAGAGGTGTTCATCTCACGCCGCACCGTGCATCGCTAGGGCCGGACGTATTTGTTTTCCAACGAAGGAGCGAGAGAGACCGAAAGAGACAGACTTGTGAGGTTTCGTTCGATACTGTAGAGGACATGCGCGAGCTTGCCGCGGCACAAGTCACCCCTCCCGCAGCCTGACAGGGCCTCCGGCAACCGTCAGAGCAGAGCCTGTTGTACAGTGCGTACATAGTTCCTTGGCGAAGGTACCTTTGGTGGATCTCCGGATGGCAGCTGCCAAGGACGACCCAATAGAATCCCGGAGCATGTAATGTAACGTAGGGAGAGAGCTGCCCCCAATCTGTGGTGGCTGACTGAAGCCTCAAATCCTGCGTCGGAAGGGCCGTGGGCGTCGCAGGAGCCATCTGTTGTAGACAGTGAGGCTCCCACACCGCAGTGGAGACGAAGCTTGGCAGCAGGGGAATCGAGTGCTTGCTGTCGTTCAGGGTTTGGGTTTGGGTTTGGCATGGCTGGGCAATTGCGAACTCTGGTTTGCCGGTTTATCGACAAACGCAGCTTTGCCCCCAATAAAGCCCATGCATAGTGCCGCGAGGTCCATGAATGACAGCATGCAGCGCTCTGGTCCAACTCACTGGAGCATGCCGTAGTGATGAAGACTTCGAGGTCACGCCTCAGAACCCCACTCATTGAAATCAGGAATTGTTCGCATGCCTTGAGGGACGCGACACGGTTTCCGCATGCGGACACTGGATTGCGGCTGCCACGGACAAGTAGTTCAGCTTCTGATAGAAATTCAGGTTCAGCCCAGACGCAGCCGGGACTTGCGAGCCCCAGGTGTTCCACCAGCCTGGTCCGTAACACCCACGCCCGTGCGCAGCGCATCACGTGCCGGGTGCTGAGCTGCCACTACATCTCTTCCGCATGCTTGCAGCGAAGACCAAAGAATCTGCGTTATTGAATGCAATCGAATACCAAATCCGGAACAATTCCTGCATGCGGCATGGGCATGTACTTGAAACTGGCTCAAGTCCTATTCCTTTTGTGGATCTGACGAGGCAAACTTGTTGCAAGTGTGGCGTCGGCCATGCTTTCCCTTAGCAAGTTGGACAAACATGGCTTGCTTGGATGCTTTGCATCTTTATAAATGTCGGTTCGCCTCACAAGCTTTCGAGCATTCCTCTCGACACGACTGGCCCCAACGCTGGCAATATGTCGGAAGCGGACCGGAACAAGAGCGAGCTTCTTGCCAAGACCTTGGTCGGTGAAATGAGGGAAGTTGAAAGCATGCCCGATCCGAAGTCCGAAGGAGAAGTGCGAGACAGACCTCGGGATGCAGCGTGCTCTGATCGAGAAGATGCAACAGCAAACTACATTTCAATGAAGCGGATGTCTCAATGATGTCATCTTGAAACGGGTAGTCCAGAAGCACGCTCACCAGCGGGAGCACAGGGAGTACCATCCGGAGGCCCACAAGAAGCCGAAGCACGCAGTGCACGAACATGAAGATGAGGAGCTGGAAGAAGACGAGGGCGGCCCGGGACAATGGTCGCGAGCCATGCTCAGGCCTAATTGCAGGACCTGGCTTGCGGCGCCGAATCGAGAAACAAATCGAGAAGGGAGTCAAGTGCGTCCACAAAGGAGTCGACCAAGCCGTGAAAACGTTGGACGGCACCGGACTTGCCGGGGGTGCCCTGACCGAGGCTTACAAGGAAGCCAAAATGGCAGGGAATGCCGCCCAGTTCGTGGCGAATACCGCAATCTCCAATGCGGAGAGGGCCTTAAGACTGTCGACATTGAGCAGGCTTCGACAATTGGAATGCCAGTTGCGGCAATGTCGTAGCCCCGGTGCCTCGGCTACAAGATTATCGGAAGTGTTCCTCCCCTGAACTTCTTGAACCGCTTGGGCGACATCTTCGCAGAGTTCGTCGCGCTTCGCCAAGGTGGCCTCCAGGTTGGCAGCTCAAGCGGCAAAGGGCCGGGAATCGCTACTGCAGACGGCGGAGTTCCCCTTTGCCGGCGCCCCAAGCTATGGTGCATCACAGAGGCGCCAAACCTCGTGATCAAGAACGCGCAGAAGATACCAGAGCTGCTGCAGGAGTTGACCACCCTCGAAGTTTAAGGCGACGGTGAAGAGGACGACAAGCCATTTCCGGAGTTCCTGGTACCGAGCGACGGAGACAAAAGATGCATTTCTGTCTCACTAGTTGGGCTCAATGTCGTCCCCCTGCCGACCTATCAACCTCACCTGGACTTCCGAGTTGCGAGAGTGGACAACTTGATTCTTGGTTTCCTCAGCCATTTGTCGGAGCACCCGAAAGCAGAGCCTTGCGGGCACAGCCTGGCCTCGGAAGGCCATGTCCGGGGCCTTGCAGAGACCTTAGGGACCGTCAGCTGTTTCCCGAAACATGACTCTGCGAATTGCCTAGCAAGAAAATGGTAAGCAAGTAATTAATACCCATTAGGGCTTTCGAGCAGGGTCTCGCGTGACGCATGCGATACTTTCCAACCTACGAGTGGCGCCTTGTGATCCCTCGCCGTCTTGGCTGCGTAGTCTTAGCATGTTTTTGTCTTGTCAGGGTGGGGGGCTTAGTGCAGGCACAGCCCCTCGCTTTCGTCTGATGCAGGTTGGACTTGGTGGCAGGAAAACATGGATGCGGCAGAACCCGCAACGAAGAGGGCCAGGTCTTCCTTAAGCTGGGGAAGTGCTCGAGAAAGCGTCTTCTCTTTGCGACATGACCAACTGCACATGGAAATCGTCATCAACGCTAGGCAAATGCAGCTTTCAGGCTAAGAGTCAGAGCGCGTAAGCAAGCATGCAGCATGACGACAGCCCCGGAACCCTGCGGGCCAGGCTGCAGAGACGCCAGCAGCCCGAGAGAAGGAGCGCTGGCTCCGCATTTCCGGCACCTCGTCACCTAGCAAAAGGCTCCATAAGGCATACTGCATCATACTGCAAGGGGAGGTGAAACGGGTTCTACCGTAAGGATTTTCAGACGTTCAGGTGACAAAATTTGTCGTATTTGCAGCAAGGTGCATCGAAGCTACGGTCTCAGGAGTCTTTGCTTTGCATCGAGTCAACCCTGGCCCTGGTCTTTGCTTCATTGTGCTGAGGACATCACCGGCCTCTGGGCAGATGCTCGGCAGCCATAAGGATTTCGTTCCGTGAAATAAACTCCGGTGTTCCCTGGTTATTCATGTAGACAGGCCCCTTGGCACTAAGATGTTTGCAGGCGAAAGGTGGGTCCTTATGGTCCTTTCGATATGCCTCCTCCCAGATACTTCAACACTCATGTTCACGGGCAGTCATCGCCGGTGCAAAGTGGTGCACGTTGCAACCAATGCCCTCTGTTGCGGCTCGCGGAGCCATGGTTTCCAAACTGGAGCTGGAAAGCATCTGCTGTTCTGACTGCTCACAAACATCGACTTCAGTTCGTGATGGGAGAGTATGACGAACCGTCACCGCCTTTGTCATGAACATTCATGTAAGATAAGTAACACGCACCTGGGATTCCCCAAACTCCTAAAAGTATGCCCAGCGACTCCAACATCTCAGATAACCGAGAATAAAATGGCAAAACTGGTGCGGATCCTTCTTGAAAGGGGCCTGATAACCATAGCGATATTTCAGAGTCGCAGGCTTAAGCCCGAAACCTGGTGTAGCTGCGGTCTACAGGTTAGCGATCCGGAGGACCGCTGCCACTTGTTTCGTTGGCGGCAAGCTCCAGATGGCAGGCGCGCGAGAAGGGTTTGGGCTCAGGGTATTAGGATATTCTGGAGCTTGAATGCACAACTTGTATGACATGCAGAGTGTCATACGGCAAATTCCGGTCGCACAGAGAAGGAGCATCCGGCAGCATGAGGCAAACGCTTGTTCTGCTCCGCGGAGGCTTGCGAAGCTGTGGCCAGGTGAAAAGGCATATGTGTTTGAGCTCTGGGACCGTGGCTCGGAAGTTTGACATGGGTCGTGCCTGCGCAAAGCCCTAGCCCTAGCGGCCCTACTCGTAGCATGTCGGCAGCGGTCAGGAGTTTCGAAGGAGTCCAGATCGGCTTCGAGGCACGGGCCCGCATCCGAAGCAGCGCCAGCGCGCCTCCTGATTCTTGATACCTGAAGTCAGCATGGCTGCTGTTGGGGTTATAGGGCCTTGAGGTTCTTCTGACAGGCCAGAGTCGGCCAGAGGCTTCTTCACGAACGATGGACTGCGCAGGCGACCAGTGATGGATGCATCGAAGCTTCCGGAGCCATTCGATGGCGAACGACCGCCGGGGGCTTGGACTGCGGGACTGCGGCCTGGGCCAGTCGGATCCGACTCGGCTCCAGGCCCAGGTGCTGTTTTCGGTGTATCCGGTGCTCGACAGTGACGGTGCAGAATGCGCCACTCTTGCGGCAGATCGAGACTGGTGAGAGATAGCCTTTGTGTGCGACTAAATGTCTTTGCTAAAGTGGTAGAGCCGGAGTTCACATGGCTGACAAGAGTTTCAAGAAACTCGTGGGCAGGGCCGGATCTGGCATGGTCAGCTGGATCCTACAGGACAGGCGGTTCTTCAGAGTTCCGTGGATAGGTTACCAGAAACGGCTTCCATGAGGTCTTCCGTGATTTCACAAGAGCTCTACGGAAATGTCTCTGGAGACTTTCAGGCAACGAGACAGTCACTATCACTTTGCATACGTGTCAACAGAACTCACTCGGGCACAAATCTGCGACAAGAAATGCGCCCGTCAGCTTCAGATGGTCTGCGCGAGTTCGGCAAAACCGTTTCACTGCAGCTCCTCTTGCCAGCGAGATGTACGGGCATTGTCATCTTCCAGCATCCATGCCCTCGAGACGTGAGACCTGTATGGCACTCTATGGAATCTTGAGTCCCTTTAACTGTCCTGCAGGATGGTGCATCCGCGATGGCTCCTACATAGCAATTGAAGCATGTGGGATGCTGCACTGCTGGTCAGAGCTCAACTGTAAGCAGGATAAGGAAGCCATTATCAATGATCCATCCATGTACCTATCAGCCTATCCATCGAGCCTCCATCCATCGGCTAGCTACTGGTAGCCAGCTTCTTTCCTGCCCTCCCTGCCTGCCTACCATCCGCTAGCTAGCTACCTGTCGATCTTGAGCCTGAAACGCAAGCCTGTGACGGATGGTCGTGTACAGGATCATATCAACACAGGGCCATACAGAGCCTGTCGCCGAGGCTTCTATACCTGCCCCGCCGGAAAGCGACTCGGCACCTTTGCGGCCATCCGGCAACGGGAGGCCCCGTTTCCGGACAACGTGGGTAATGGAAGACTATGTGATCTAGTATAATCATGTTCTAGTCCAGTATGATCTTAGATGATATCAGGATGAGTATCGAAAGTTCCTTTCAAATGCCAACACGGCTTCATCGCCCAATATCTACCGTGCCAAATTGGGTTGGCTCTGTCCAGCTGATTCAGCTGAATGTCTTCTTGGCACGGCTATTTTGGGGTTTCCGAAATTAGGGGTACCTTATTTTGGGGTCCTTATAATAAGGATCCTATTATTTAGGGTACTATATAAGGGTCCCCTACTTTCGGAAACCCCATATACTATACAGGACAGTTCCGCTGCATGGGCACACCGGCATTTCGGCTTCTCCCGGGCACGAACACTCGTAGGTCGTAGCGCTCAAGTGCATTGTCTGAGAAGGGGGAGATACGGTAATATTTCTGAGATTTCTGGTTGTATGCTTGAAAATGATTGATCGTCGTGCCGTGTCAGCTAGCCTTTACGGCCCAGCGCGGCCTCGGTATACTTAGTATCTTATTCCGATTCCCCCATATGAAAGTCAACCGCAGGTCCAGCCGGACGAGCAGTTGCCGCAGGTGTCTGCGGACAGGTCGGGGTAGCATTGCCACAAGAGTTCCCTTTGTGGTCTGAACTTCGGAGGTCGAAGATGGAGTTTCAAGACTGGGCTGATGGCCTGTTCTTCTCCCTGGACCGCGATGGCAAGGACACCTCACGATGACTGGTCAGAGGGTGTCTTTTGGGTCTCCAAACCCTACGTAATAAATTGTGTACAGTAGTGCTTGGGTGTCTGGGTGGTTCAACTGGGGCCCTATCGCAGTGCAAACCTCTTGTCAGACTTGTCGGGAAGCCTTATTGCCTTATCAGTGCGAGAGTGTGAGAAATGCGAACGCATCTATCGCGCAAGTGAAATCAAAAAAGACTAGGAGCCCTTACACAAACGCTGCACCTTGCATGAGGGCAAACACAAGCTTCAGGTCACGCCCCCGAGACCAGTATGCACTGGCAAAGAGCCTGCCGCGACGAAATCTGCCTGCGAACGAAGACAACAGGAATGAGGTCCCGAGTCAGTGCTGTAGGGGTTCACGCCACACGGCTCTTGCCAGTTTGTATCTTTGTCGGCTTGGGTGTTGCAGCCAAGCATCGTCCATGTGCACTGACCAGAAGCCACCATGCCAGTATCAGGAAACTTTCTCATATCATGCAGTTGCGTCTGCAGCCTCCAGCCAGGCCAGGGGTAACATAGGACAGTTTTACGGATGTCCTCGGCATCCGCGAGCCAGAACAGGACAGGAGCCTGTGCTCGTTACACATCAACAGGCTAGATGCATAGTTGTTGGCTGTGCTTTGGATGGCTCCGATTCCACGCAGACACCCATGCCACAAAGGAATTTGGCATCATTGCCGAGTACATATCTAGGCTGTTCATGCGACTTCGTCCCTTGTGGGCCATCACGCGGAACACGACAAGACCCAGCTTCCTGCCAGTGTCGCTGCTGCAACAGCGAGCAGGGCACTACTCGCCACGTCCATCCTTTGCAGGGTAGTACTTAGATAGATTTAGATCCAGCAATCTCATCCAAGGTCTCAGTTTCCAAGCATGCGTTGCTCAAACGACTGCTCGGTTGCGAGGCAAATTTCCTTCCAAGTGGTTGCTTCGCCGAATAACGTCGTGTCTTGTGGATGTCACGATGATCCTCTTTGAATAGAGCAAGCTTCCGCCAGTGCTTGCAGCATCTGCACACATGCATACTAATCTGGCTATGGGCGATCTATCCCCAAGGCACTGGGGCGTAGCAGCGAGCACCTACCCTCCTGCTAGCAGGGTCGTTGTGAGCCCTACACAGCCCTATACAGAGGCAATAATTGGAACAGGCTTTGGGGGTATATATGTAATGTACTTCTCTGGGGACTATAAGGGGACAGTGCTAAGAATCATAGTCCGGCCCCTGTGGCCCTTGCGTTAACTCAGGAGCAGCTCCTGGATGCAGATGGCTTGCAGGCTTCTGGAGTCGGAGAACCGCTGTGGTGAGCTGCTGTATGGGGCCATGTAGAGCTCGTTAGAGCTTTCCTTTGTGACATCCAGCTTCTTGTGCCAATAAGGTGTGTGCTGTTCGTGTGTCTCATCCGTTCCTGAAATTCAAGTCTCGGGTTGATTGATAAGTTTGCAGCCGTGACATGTAGCCAGATTTGTGTCAATGAGCACTTCGTAACTGTCTGACCAGCTGACCCAGATCGTGCATCTTGCCAATCTCCCTACATCCTTGAAAATCTGGTTCGGCGCGGAGTGGGCTCCGTGCTCTTGTTGAACCATAGCTTATCAGTAAGAACCTTTTTCTGTCCAGCTGTTCACGGTTTGTCTCGGGAGTGAGAGCTAGGGTGCGGGTGCAGGTCATGATGGAGTGGGAGAAGCCGTACATGGAGAAATGCGTGGACGAGTTGAAGGTCACCTCTGCACCCTGCCCGCAATGCGTAAAGGTGCTCGTTAGAGTCAGCCGCTGTTTACTCCCAGAATCTGAATTTGAGCTGCCCTAACCTTCGAAGGACACGGATGTCCTCGAAGTGGGATTCGGTTGCGGCTACAGCGCCAGCCGGATCCAGGCCTGTTGCCATGAAGCGCAATCTACGTGAGATCACAACACACCTGGATAGCCTCAGCTGGGCATCTCCTTAACGAAGTGCCAGATGTGAGGTCGGTCCGATTCGTGTCCTGGACCAGATTTGGATTGAACCAGGTTGAGTCTGCAACCATTGGACAGCAAATCGCAGCGGTCGGATTGAGACATCAAAAAGGGGCACAATCCAGAATCCCTCGATCTCTAATCACATTGGCCAGCCCGTGTAATTTTTGAGCGGGTGAGACACATCTCCAGGAGTTCAAGCCCCGTTCCCACACGATCATCGAATGCGTCTTGGCTCGATGGGGTTGAGTTGTTCAGGGGAAGACAGTGAGTCATTCGTGGTCTTCTCTGTGGATTCGGCTCCAAGGCCAGCCTTATGCTGTCGTCCCCGCAAAGTACATCGTGTAGCTCTTGGGTTTTAGGTCTCGGCTTAACTGCGTAACTTCTTGCAGGCGTTCTGTTACAGAGCTCCAAAACCATTCAAGGATGCGGACGCATGCGAGGGGCGGAGGTTAGTGACATTGCAGGCGCCAGAAGAAGATGTTGGTTTTGCACGGATTCTGTTCCGTCCGAGTCATGGCACAACGGAGGCTCGGAGGTGGTGCTGGAGCGGCTGAAGCATTGGGCAGCCGACAAGCCGAATGTACCTTGGGCCGAAACATGCATACGCAGACATGTTTTGAGACACTCACTGTGGGTTCTGTTGCAGCTCCAGAGTGGGCTTGAGCTGTCCGTCTGGGTTTGGTCAGTTCGCCTACTGCGTATCGGCGCGACTTCGGCCTGTTGCGGAGTATTGTTGTTGAGACTCGTGGGCCTTAGCATGAAGAGCTTGTGTAAATTTTTCCCAAGCAATGATTGCGATGACAAGGGCCTGGCCGCGGCATAAGATCTGAACCCATGGTCCGTCTTGCCAACGAAGGTCCACATCGTTGAGGGCACCTGGCAGCAACGACTTCCTGAGCTGGGCCGGTTGCGCCCCCAATGATCAATGATGTGGAGTCCGAAATGCAGGGTGACTGTGGGTTCAGACTTCTCCAGGCAGCTCTCAGAATGTAGCTCGGGAGGCATGCATTACTGCGACCCCACGTTGGGGAACCGCCCATGTTCTCTCTCTCCCTTGACGTTGTCTCGCTCGCTACCTGTTTATGCAGAGGAGTTCAACACTTCTCCCAGACTGTAGTAGCGGTATCGTGCAGTCGGTCTGAAAACAGTGCTCCCTGAACCATCCCCAACATGCTCGAGAGGTCTTCCGAGAAAGTCAACAACAACCTCACGGTGCATATGATTATGTATGCGTGCATTCATGCACGAATGCACCTACTGATGCGTAGAGGTGGTGTGTTTGTCTGTATATTATAATATATATATACACACACACAAAACCGTGCACACACACACACACGGACGCATAGGATACAGATGAAGGGCGTCATGCACATACACAGCAGACATAGTCTGGACAGGTACTCCCTCCCAGCCATTGCTCAGTTCGGGAAAGTGTTTGCACGCATTCTGCCTGCCCTGGCATTCTGACAGCCATGGAGGTTCGATCGCATCTTCTTCGATGATTACGGTCAGCCTGGCATTTCTGACAAGGACATGTGGGTGCTCTTGCACCCAACAAGATTCCAACGGGTATTTATGTAGGTTGACGGCGGCGAAGCCATCCAAGATCAGCCAGCCATTCACGGGCCGATGTCGCCACGGGTAGCTTTCAGAGAGAGAGAGAGAGAGAGAGAGAGAGAGAGAGAGAGGGACAGAGGGGGACAGAGGGGGTCATGCCCCTACACCATAGCCCTGGCGAAAGAAAGAGAGAGAGAGAGAGGGAGCGCGTCCGCGCGCGGGGGTATGTGTCCGCCTGCCTCTTCTGTCCTGGTAGAGAGAGAGAGAGACAGACGGAACACTTTCTTTTTCTTCCTGTTGCCCACTTTCTCACATGAACAGCGCATGCGTCTGCGATGATTTCTGCGACGTAGTTGGAAACATGTGAAGCCCCACCCGAAAGAGCTTGATCAAGAGGCTTATTTCATTTGGGTCTGTTCCTCGCACATCTGATCAAGTCCCAGGAAGAACGCCCGGGAAGCAAACGATACATGGCTCGCTTTTGCCCGGAACGATCGTGGAGGGGATTCACGTGGGCAATGTGTTTATTTGACAGGAAATGTTCCAGAACTGCCCGAACGAGCAGTACAAGGACATCTACGACGAGTCGCAAAGCCATTTTCACGCGTCTTTCAGATGCAAGTTGAGCTATGCGTGTCAGTGCTCAGACGGATTGCTGTGCATGCTACCACCGTCCGCACACGCTGGCATGACTGTGCGATGCAGAGTCTAAGAGGTGTCTCCACAAATTTGATACGGAGTGCCTCTGTGCCGTGCGCTAAGCATTGATGCGTGTGAATGCCATGCTGCCGGCACGGCACGATGCTATTCGCGACAAGAGCCTGTTTGCACGTACTCGGAATTCAAGCTGAGCAAGCATAGGCACAAGCAGAAAGACCGAGAGGGAGGGACTTAAAATGTCCCTGCGACGAGTTGTAGCTACGCCGCACATGAGTCGAACAGAGCTTCGTTTCATTGAATTCCTTGCGCTCAGGTTTCTCAACCTCGCTTTCCAGTTTCACTCGCGCAGCTTGGAACCATTGCGGACTCCAGAGTTCATAAACGACGGGAAAATTTCCACAGGAATCTCTAGACTCTAGAAGTCGTTGCCGAGACCTTTCAGGCTCTCTCGGTTGCGGACCGAATTCCAGCACGTGCAACAAAGTTCTCGGGTTCCAGTTGACTGCAATTGTTTGAAGGGACAGCTGCTTCAGGAAACGGTACGCGAGTTTCTGGCTACTTGGCGACTTGGCAATGCAAAAGGGCTTGTGGAATCGGCCGGACAAGATCTTCAATTAGTCAACTCTGCCAGGAGAAACGAAGCCAAAGCAACTTCAGCCATTACGAGATGATTATGATTAGATGCCTTCATTGCTTTTGGCTGGCTGTATTCCTGTTGCCAGTTCAAGGGCCCAGCTCTCCAGACGAAGCACGAGGCGGTCCAAGACATCAGCCTCGGTTCTTGGCCAAGACAACACCCCCAAGAAAAAGAAGATAGGCGAAGTCCAGAAACGTCCCTTTCCTATACCCCAAGCCACCGAAGAAAATTCAGCCAGCTCGCCCCATTTCTGGAAGTCAGGGCACCTAACCGCGGCCTCAGTCTCGAGAGAATGCCGATGAGAAATCGAATCTTCGTTGATAAAGGCGAAGGATGCCACGGAAGCCATGCAGAATTGGATTCTGTTACGGCACATCTGTTCAGCCAAGCCACACATGTTGTGGAGGGCTTTTGAAGAGGTGAGCCCCATCGATTTCCAGAGGGATGACGTCGATGTCAAGTTCGAGAAGTGCTGGCGGCTGCATTCGGAGGGTTTGGCACGATCCCACTAGAGACCTGCCAACCAATTGCAGTTGATGGCATGAACATCACACAGGTTTTGAAGCAACTTGAGGTATTGGATCGTGGAGTTGTCAGCCATGTATAGACAACAGCTTCCAAGGTATGCTGTGGCGCCTCCAGATCACTGCGACTACTTCTTCAGTGCTTGGAGCAATTTTATGTTCTTTGTTGCGTTGCTTTCATGCTTTCTGTACACGCCAAGCGATGGCCCAAGTGTCCGGAGAGCCTCAGGGAGAGCAGAGCGCAGGGCGAAAGCTTGCAAGTTCCGAGGCGACAAGGCAGTGGTGCCTGTCTTTTCCAAGAAGCTCGGCCAGAATCAGGTACTTGTACCAGGCTGTCGAAGCCGGTGGATCAGAGACCTCCAGGCCGCGTGATGAACTTCAAGCCGGAAGCTAGTTGTGAAACACATCCTCCGTCTCAGTGAAGTCTAATTCTAAGGATGTCCGCACCCAGCGACGGTGGCTCGACGCGCAGCCCGAGCCCAGCAGGATAGCACGAAGGGATTCAACGAAGGGTTCAGAAGTGAGATGCATAGAGCTTTTGGGGTGGCTGCAAGCCGTAGTTCGTACCGCTTTGGCAAGTTTGTGCTGTTGCATAAAAGAAGCTTTCGAGATTTTACGGGCACCAGGCGTAGAATGTGTGAAAGCAGCGTGAGGAGACCATGAGAGCGCCCCAGATTGAGTGTTTTGATTCAGAAGCGTGTCATGAAAGCAGATAGCAGATATCGTCACGCAAGAGTTTGGGGTACATGCTCATGTTCCGGACAGGGCCCTTTGTGGAACCTGTGCTGTGCCAGAGCTACACGATGCTGTGGCACAAGCACGCAGTCTTGAACCAATGTATGAATCATAATGGGTAGAGTTTCTGATTGAACCGTGTTGTGCCCGGTGCACCCGGTGCAATGCTAAAGTGCTAAAGGCAAGAAGTGTTTATGGCAAGATGCTGTCTGTGGCCGAAGCGGCATCTGAACCACCACGAAGAGGTGGGAGTGCCCTCATCAGGAGTGTTGGAAGGAGTGGGAATTGGCAGAAGAAAGAAGCAAGCCATCGCGTTGCCACGTTGCCAGGAGCTTTTGACATGGAGCCTTCGGAGCGAAAGATGCCCGGCTTGCTGCACGCAGAGCCTTTTTGAAGTGTGCGCTGAGTGAAGTGATCGGGTCCGGTCTCTGGTGGGTGTAGGCTTTCGAGATCTTTCGAGTACTGTACAGAGTTGGTGGTTGGGGCTTCAGGTTTTGAAGATCTGGGTTCACCGAGACCTACACCCAGTCCAAGGCCCGGGACAACAGGGAACTTGTTCCACGCTTTAGCGGTCCAGTTCCAACGCTAGGAGGAAGAAAACCTGGGGACACACACAGCTTGAGACGCGTAGCCTTGTCATGCCCTGGTGGACAAAGATGTGCTAATCTGGTTTCGGACGGATTGGCGATTCTTGTAGAAATCCCACTCATCAAGAGCCCCGGCCCTCGCAGTGGGATGTTACTGTACGGTATAGTCATGCCAGATGTGCCAGATGGTCAGATTTCCTCCTGCCGGGATTGGACCAGAATGATGATTTTAAGCCTCGCGTTCCGCGAACACCTGTTTCGAGATTTCTTGGGCGGCAACCTGATGCCAACCGTTCCATCGGCGGATCTGCTTTTGAAGCGTTTGGGTTCCATGCTTATGCAAAGCGTGCTACAACACCCGGCAGCCCTAGCTAAACTGCATTATTCCGCTGAATCAGACCGCTGGTGGGTGAGCTCGACATGCTCACCACCCTGCCAGAATGTACATCCAGAGTACATTGAAGCATGGCTACGGCAGAGACCCATGGAGTTGGCATAGGTGTTCTGGGACGGAACAACAAAGGTCTAGCGGACCGATTTGCCTATGGCCCAGTTACATTTGGTCTAAGCGACTGAGGCTAAAAAAGATCGCGTGACCCCTGACTCCGACTATGCTCGAGGCCCCCACAGGTACTTCCGAGCTTTGCATGGCTTCTTGTCAGCCGTCTGCGTAATTGACATGTAGCAGAGTGCACTCGTAGATTCGTAGATGCATGGTCAAGACTGCCGGAGTTCTTCGATGTGCACGAGAGCAGTGCCGTGCACAGCATTGGCGCTGTCACTCGACCACAGCGTTGGCAGGGTTTTGCTACAATTGTTTGAATTGAAGTCCCTATGTCAGGCTGGTCAACACCAAGCGTGCAAACGTTGCCCAAACCAGCGCCAACACCATATCCTACTCACACAGAGGTCTCAGGCAAAGTTTCGGTTTTCGAAGTTTCAACAGACTCAAGCGTTTGCAGGGATACCATGCCTGATCACTGGAGGGCCCAGCTCAACCTCGAAACAGCCATGCAGCAGTTGGAGTTCGGCTGAGAACCTTCTTGCATGCAAGGCTCGTGCAGCACCTCGTTGCTATGCATTTGAAGAGGAGTAGCCCCCGACTCTTGGCAGAGAGGGGCGGCGAAGAGAGTCTCTATAATAGGCCTTACTTAGGAGCTTGCTGGTAAGTCGTGCTGGGAGTTGGAAGATGCCAGAAGCCGCACCGGAGGTTCCACGCTTCGTCAGGGGCCACTTCTCACCATTCCCGTTTCAGCGAGCTCCTGTCAATACCCGGTCGAGCTTGAGAGGATCGGCAGAAGGGGATACACTTTGTGAGTGAAAGACTCCGGGAGCATTGAGAGAGAGCGAGTCTCAATTTGAAGCTTCCTCCCTGAAAATCAGAGAGTTGCTGCTGAGAGACACAGTAGCAGATCCGCTGCCTCCTGGGAAGCTTGCGGCCCAGTGAACATAAAAGGATCGTTCGAAGCTGAAGCAAGGCAAGCGTTTGTAAAGCACCGACTGCTGGCAGAACGAGTGTCAGAGTACCTGGTGTTGGCTAGGCCAAGCATCTAGAGGAGCTGGTTTTGTCGGCTTCCGTTTGGGGAGGTTTCATGTACAGATGCTCCAGACGTGCACAGCTGAGCTGACACTCTCATTAGCTTAGAGATGCAGACTTTGGCAGGGAGAGCCAGAGCCCAACAAGACCTCTCAGTCCGACACAGGATGTCCTGAAGCAGTCTTGTTGCTAAAGCTTCTGAGACAGCCTCGTCTCCGGTACGGTTCCGAGCAGTGAACGGTACGTGAATCGACATTCGCCACCATCTCCATCAAGGCTGCTCCAGATGGGCTTCGGACGTGAAAGCACATCACTTCTGGAATAAGGTCAGGGTGGAGCCATCATTCTCGCCGTCGGCTCCTTCAAGAGGTCCTTCAAGTGCTCGGTTCCGCTATGCACTGAGATGCCACAGTGTGCCCTTTGCGAAAGCTCTAGTAGTGCCTTCCGCTCAGTCATCTCTCAAGATTCTAAAATGAACATGTTGCCGTGTAAGTTAGAGGCTTAGTTTGCTTCAGGATGCCCCTGAATTCAAAATGGCCAATCAATCACTCCTGAGCCGGATGCTTGGCGACAAGCCTCGTGGAAGTCTTTGGGATTGGGAGTCCCTCGCCTTGCGTCAGGCGTCGTCTCGATCGCAGCTGCAGCCCAGCGGCAGGCAAAAGCACGGTTGAGGTTTCGAGCATCCAGCTCTGCCAGCTAGTCGCCTAGTGGCTGGCACTTCTAGAGGACACTGTTGGGGCAGTTTGTCATGGCTTTGAGAAAGGTCCCTCATGTACAAAGAAATTGTGCCTCCTTAACATTTCTCCCCGTCCAGAGTGTTTTACAGCAGGTGCCGACCAGAGAGCCTTTGAGGTGGGCAGGGTCACCGCACTTCTCGAAGAGCACAACGCCATGTCTCATGTCAGTTGTGATTGTAGCACGGCAGTTGGACATGTGTTTAATTGTAAACGCTTCGCATCGTCCGCTTCGGCCTGATTTCAGACTTAAGTCTTGTAGTTCCCCCGTTCTGAGCTCGAGGTGAGGTTGGGCTTACGGCTTGGAGGCTTCTATGTATCTTCATCCTCATCCTGAGCATCCTCACTCTCCATCCTCTGCCTACGGACACACGAAATAAGTGGAGGACATGAGCTTCACCGCCGGCTAAGCAACGTGAGGCAAGTAACCTCAGGCGGCAGAATCAAGTCGGCCACGCGTCGCAAGCTGCTTCGTCCTTTCATGTCAGAAACAGGCGCAACACATTGGGAGATTTGCGCCGGTGACGACTAAGCCTTCCACACTCTGCGACCAGGCGCCCAACGCCGACCACGACGATGTCTGCCCCGGTGATTCGCTCCGTTAGCCCGGCGCCTGCACCTGCGCCCGGACGCCTTGAAGACATCTCACGAAGTGTGGTTATTCAGAGGTCGGATGACCTACGTACTTATCGTTTCAGACGGGCAAGAGAGGATCATGGGGAGCATGCCGAAACAAGGAGGGGCATACCCAGATTCTAGCCGAGTAAGTAGCAGGGGTTTTCTTCAAGGCAACAGCTCGTCATTGGTCATTCGAACACAGTTGGCACCCCCAATGCCCCAGCAGCGGTACTTCGGATGCGACCACCCGTGCCAGCTGGCTGTCTGAAGTGAGGTGCTGCATCAAAACAGTATCGTTTCTCTTCCATGCTCACTCGTTCCGCGTGTTATATTGCGCAACACCCGGCTTCCGTCGCGGCCGACCCACCGCCAACACGGAGACACAAATTCATACACGAACAGAGGGGCATATCATATTATGCACATACGTGCACAGCTATATACAGCTTTCTAAAAGTACCTGCCTATCCTGCCTGCCTGCCTGCTTACATACATATAAATACATAAGTTCCTTGTAGCACGTGCGTATCCATACACAGTACATATGTATCTACAGAGAGATAGGTTGTCAGATCATGACATCTATCGGTGGATACATACATAGACAGCGTCGGGTAGCTAGGTGGCTGGGTGGCTGGGTTCCGGGTGGATAGACAGACGGAGACAGGCAGGCAGACAGGCAGCGCCACGCAGACACGACGCATGCGTGCCGAGGCTGGCATCAGGCCTCGGGCTTCAGCTGCCGGTTGGCATGCGCCTTCTTCGAACGCCGCTGCCCAGCCTGGACCCCCAGACCCTGGCGGGACTTTTGCACAGATAGTTTTGGAAGTGCACTGCCGCCTCGGGAATTGGAGAAATAGGTGGTGCTTGGCGATGCTTTAATGATTCGATTGGTGAAATGATGGACTTCTCCACACCTGCAATGCGGTGATGCTGTTTTGGTACAAACATTCGGCGGTGCAGACCAGACATATGAACAGATAAAGCTGATTGTCCGCAAAGCCGCAGTCAAATGTGATGAGTGATGAGTCATATGAGTCCACTGAGAGCGCAGGCGCCACATCGGCGGCAACGACACCGCCACGCTCTCCAGCGACGACGTGGCCTCCGAGGCCTCAGTATGGTACTGTGTCAGGAATATAGAGAGTGTTTCAGGGCGCTCGGGGGATTGGGGCTCCTATAGTTCTGCAACACGAGCATCTGTAGTAACGTGATCACTGCTGTTGCTTGTAAAAGCTACTGAGTATGAAGGACTAAAAGCACATCGCCGCAGTCTCTTGGCTCTAGCTTTACTTCTTGGAGCGTGTGTGTACTAGCCAACTGCTAAACACACGCACCCGGGCAGGCGCTTGGAACGTCAGCCTTTGCAGACGAGTTCTTGTCCCACACGATGCCTTGTAGCAGAATCTGTAGCTTACATGCACTCACGCTTCGAGCCGCGATCAGCTTTGTTTCCGTCTGCCCGGGTCCAAGTCCAAGAGTCCGTGCGAACAGAGCACCCCCATCCCATCGCCATGGACTGCTGCCATGGACTGCATCTCCTGAGGCAGCACAATTAAATATTAAATACGAAGATTTCTGCAATCGGCCCATTCAGGCACAAGCACGCAGGATATTATGCACGGAAGAGCCGCGCAACGAAACTGACTCCCCGCCTTGTTAGTAGCTCTCGGTGGTCACCGGGGACTCCTGAACATGTCAGTGCGGGACTTATTTTACGCATGAGCCTTTCGGTCGGGTGGGCATCCTCCGTCGACCGGTACATTCCTGCGAAGTTGCACCAACATCTCGGGTTGACACTTGCTCGTTCCGTGCATGTTGCTTGATATTTCGGTTGTTGGCTCATGGGATTTCTTCAGGAAAAAGCATTGTGCACATGTCTCAGAAATTAACAGGCTCTTCCACCGGCTCCCGGTAGCCGTCCCCAAGAAGGAGACCCTCGAGGCGAGATGGGAACGGTTGAGTTTTGAGCTTCGTGCTTCTAGGGAAAGTGCAGCTGCGAAGTGAACAAGCCACCCGATTCGAACCTACGCGACATGAACGGAGTTTGCTTGTCAGTTGGGCCTAAGATGCCTTTCAGTTTTGGCCACCTGCCAACCCACACGCGAAATCCTGAATCTTGAAGCAACTCCCCAATACCTTGCGCTGCTGAAGTCCATAATTGCATAGTAGTTTCTTACCTACTTTGGTATATTTGGAGCCTTAGGGTCTTCCTGGACATACCCTAAGTCAAACCGGGTGTTGGTGAAAAGTGGAAGTCCCTCGAAAGCCGACGTGGAGTCGCGAAACCAGGCTACTGTTCAGGCTTGTTCAGCCTACAGTGACAGCCTCAAATCTTCTCTGCAGCTGTCGAAAGTCCAACTCTCAAATTGGAGAGTGCTGCTTGCTGAAGGTTTATCTAGTTGGGCTTACATCACGCAGGTGGCGCTTGTTGCAGACCACGCCCTTGATGAGCCAGCTGCGCCCGCTTTTAGTGATGAAGGCCTTTCGCCGGCTTGGTTTGCAGTTCTCTGTTGCCAGGCTCTGAAGTGCAGGTTGCAGAATGCCGCAAGAATCTACGACTTTACAAGTCCGACATGAGAACACAAAAAGCACCTGCCAAGACAACAAAGAAGCTGTGACTGCGGCACGAGCGATTTGAACAAATTCCACTGATCAAGCACGGCGCAATTATTCGCACTGTCGGCTTTTTGCGGTCTGTATTGCGTGATGCTGGTAGGGCCTCGCGGTTTCGCGGATCATGAGATGAAGGATGCATTAACCAGAGTGGGTCTCGGTGCCCAATGGCTAGTTGTCTCTGCAGGAGCCGAGGCTGCCGATTCGGAGAAGGACTGGGCTGGGACTGCACATGCCGACATGTGTAGCAATTACCAATCAGACCAAGAGGGCCAAGGGAGCGTCAAACCGTTGAGCCTTTTGGGAACTACGGCTTTTGCGGTCCTCCTGTCCGGAGTGACCATTGAAGCCTGCAGATTTATTCAACCCCACCACCGGGAGGAATGTGGTCCTAGCATTACAAGCGCCACGGATGATGTGAACGGAGACGATGTGAGCGCACCCTGGCGGCATTTGCGGAGTTTGTTTGTACAGCAGAAAGGGCACTGATCTGGAAATTGTGTGATGTGCTTAACTTTGGTGTCCTAATTTCTTTGCATATTGATGCTGCTCGACCACCTACAGCATCCGGATACCGCTGCAAGGAAAGTGGCCACAGCGACCCGCAGAGAATCACAACCTCGATCATCAGTGAGGGAGCTGACACTCTGGACGCTTGGACTGCTCAGCTGGATCGAGGGGTTCGACGACAATCTTGCGGGCTTCTTCTCAACGTGTCCAGGCCACCCCAAACCCCATTTAGCAGACGAATAACCTAGTACTACCGGGCCCAGCCGGGCCCCCAAGCCGCTCTCGTCGTGAGTCATCTCACTTGGCGAACTCATCAACGCTCGTGGCCGTCAAAGAGGCCGCTAGGGCCGACATCCCAGAGCCGTCCTCCGCGGTGGGGTTCTCCTACTTCCTGTATTTCAGATTCTTGAAATTCTTCTGGCTTCACGCCCCAACTAGAAGTTTTGGCCTGGACTTTGCAGGTTGCTTGTTTGGGCTGCCTGGGCTCGGGCTGAGGTGCAAACTTGTTAGCTGGCCACACCCCACGAATGCCGCCAGTGATGCTGGGAAATTCCGGCAAAAACAGGGAAGTTGTCGTTGCGTTGCAAATTTGCCCTTCCTTGGTCCCTGGTGCACATCCTGGAGCTGGAACTGTGCACCCCCGCTCTGACACATCTACACTAAATCTACACTGGCCGGAGGTTTCTCCCTTGCAGCGCATTTACACCCTTTTAACGCAACCGTTTGCAAGGACAGCCTTCGAAGCGAGAACACGTCGCTGAAGGAGCTGCATCAGCTGCAGAGCCAACTCCTGGTACCACGCTCAGGATCAAGGGTCAGTTTTGCGTGTGCGTCTTGTGGCTGTGAGATTGCGTGCCTGTGTGGGTGTGTGTGTGTGTGTATGTATATATATATATATATCTATATATATGCGTTTATCGAGAGTCCGCTGTTAAAGTCTTAACGTTGGTGCACACTATAGTCATGTGGATGTATGGGGATGGATGGATGGATGGAAGCATGCGTGCGATTGGACATTGTCAGTGTTTGCACTCCTGTGTCAACTACCAACCTTTGTCCAAGTAATTCATGCTCGATTCCAGGTCGAAAAGCGCATTTATGTTCATTTCGGTGTGCCCCTGTGTCTGCACCAGTATTACAGCTTTGGCCGGAGGTGCATTTCTGAGAGGGATCGAACTCCACAATTCACCAACTCGACATGGCTGATGGAATCCATGGCACGAAAACCAGCGCACATCTAGGGCTAGCGGCAAGCATCGACGTCGACACCATAGTACCATAGCTGTCTTCAGATGACTGGGCGCTGGGTTGGCTTTCGCCTAAACCTCAGGTGACTCATCAGGCGCAGCTGAAGCTTCTGGAGACTGACAACGAGAAGTGGAGAATGCTCTACTCGTACCAGGACTGGTGGCCACGAGGTATGCAAGAAATGAGTTTTGATAGAAGTTGACTTGAAAAAACAAGGCCCAATGTTACCACCTCAATCACTCAGCTGTACTTCGAGAGAGTGGAACTAAACTCCGAACAGGAGACGCTCGTGACCCACATGCAGAACCAGATCGAGGACTACGTGAACGAGAGGAAGCTCCGCGGACTTGAAGCCAGGAGGGTGTTTGGCCAGATATTCGATCAAAAGCCTCGCGCTGGAAGCTACTGAGGCACCGAGGCTTCAGAAAACTCGAGTATGCCAGCTAATCTGGCTGATGTTGGCGGGCATTTATTCTCTAAGCATGGGTTCCATCACAAAAGGTCCAGGGCCCACGTGTTGCACCCAAGGGTGGCAGTGCAGAAGAAGCCTTGTCAGGCACATGTGATTAGATAGACATTTAGGTAAGAACTGAGGCCTGTACATCCACATAGGCACGCTGCAGGCACTGATAACCAGATGCATTTTGACGAAAAGCCGAATAGATCCGTCGCGAGCTGAATGGCAACACAGCAATCTGCGCGGCGTGCAACAACGGAGAAGACCTCGCCGGAGCACCGAAGCCAACAAACCAGAGCAAACATGCAGAGACATGTACTAGCCCTTGGGCTTTCTCTGAGGTGGCTGGAGGACGAAATCGAGAAAAACCGAGCAGAGCCCGAGGTGCCTGTTGTGTTTGCTTTCAGCTGGCTTTCGTCTTGTTGCATGAGGTCGTCATGTCCAGGCTCACGTTGTGCGGACCTGCGGTTAGAACAGCATGGACACCGCGAGAAGTCAGCACCCAGGTAGCCACTTGCGCGCATGTCGATGAGACAAATTGAAGTCGAGTTTGTCAAGATGCCGGGGTTTGGTTCATTTTGCAGAGGGGATGACTATGCGCATGAGAATTGCCCGCTGACCAGCATCTTGTGTTGACCTGCCCTGCCGGCAACCTGAATTCACGATGAACCGACATTGTCGTCGACATTGCCGTCGCAAGTCGCCAGATACTGCAACGCCTGCAGGTGCAGCTACGTGAAAACCTGCAGAAAAATCGGTGGGCCCTGGACTCTTTGCACCGGAGTTCGTTGAGACGTAAGCTTTTTCAGTCGACATATATAAGAGTAGGAATGGTGTGCGCCTTAGGCTGCAGGCTTTTTTGCCTGGGGCTTGATGGGCTGGCAGTGAGCAGTTAAAAGAGTCGGTAGACGTGGTGCTGAAGGATAGGCAAACAGATGAAAGCAAAAAAAGGGGCAGATTGGGAAAGCCTAAATGCCGAAAACGCGCGGATCTTGGGGAAGAGAACTGCTCTTTGGCCTCGGCTCGGGCAGCCTGCGACCTGTCCCGCAGAGATCTCTCAAAAAGTTTAGTGACTGTGTCTGCGAGGACTGCCTGAAAGGGAAGCTGACCGAAATGCGCGCGGATCTTGAAGACTGCCAAGCAGAGGCGCCCCTTAGACGATTCGGGCCGTGGGAGAAGATCATCCCGACTTGTGAGGCCAGCAACCGCGTCCGGGAGACCTTGGCTTCGAAAGTGAGGTCCGGCTGGAAGGCAGGGGAGAGTCTCAAAAACACACGCAAG